TCCCCAATACGCTTGCAGTTCACAATTATGTGCACCCCGTCCTCCTTATTCCCTCATCCATCGTTACCGTCACTGCCATTTACGTATATGACCGGCCCCCTCTTCAATAACGGCTCCCAAGACTTCGGAAATGACCCAAAATGTCCTGATTACCATACTGCCGCTCTTTGGAAGTATTTTTGCACTCACCTTTTCAGGCACTACGGCTTAAAATAACCAAGCATGCTTATAATTGTTTTGATAATAAGCTGAATTCCGACTCGCTTTTGCACAACCTAAAAATTAGATATGGTCAGTCATCCCCGCCCCCTCCCTGCGCGCGCATTTTACACGCACATACCCCCCCCCCCCCAAGTTTTCCCGTTTTCGTCGTTACTGTCACCTAGTGCCATTTCCTTGTCTTTTTCTTCCTTTTTTCACCCGGCTTCACTCTTCTTTCTCTTTTCTCTCTCTCTCTCTCTTTCTTTCTTTTCTCTTCTTTTTTTCTCTTCTCTTTTCTTTTCTCTTCTCCTTTCTTTTTTCTCTTCTTTTCTTCCTCTGTTTTTTCATCTCTTTTTTAGCGCCGGCAATAGGTTGGGGGGAGGGGGCCGCGGCCGTTTCGCCCCCCCCCCCCCCAACCTATTGCCGGCGCCACTGGATCCGCCACTGGATCCGCCACTGGATCCGCCACTGAAGATGGCATCGAAAATGGCAGCATAATCCCTAAAATCCCCGAGAGTTACTAATTATATCATAAATGTCTTTCGTCATTTCTTAAAATATGAGTTTGTACATAAACAAACGTTATTACTTGTAATAACTTTGATAGCCCTACGTTTTCATATGGCATGTAACATTTTTGCCGAGCCCATGCCATTCACGATGACTTCCTTTTCCTAATTAAGTGACTAGAAAAAGGAAATTTTGGGTCGTAGTGGCTGCTGTTTGAATCACTGTTCAATTTACCCGTCATAGATCCCATCAATTGTTAAAATCGGACTTGTGCATTTACATTTCCATCATCGTAAACATCACCCTAACCGATCCCCCGCCCCCCCCCCCCCCCCCCAAAAAAAAAAAGGGAGGATGGAGATATATAATACATAATATGTAAGACCAAATAAAACTTAATAAGTATCCCTAGAACTTTTGGCATAATAGCATCACATACATGGCATCAGACCGATCCTTAAATAGGATGGAATAGAAAGAGATACATATCTTGCACTAGGTTGTACTTAACACCTGTTATAACTCTATTCGCATTGGAGAAGTTGTATGACAATGTAACAATTAATTAAACACTTTCCTGAGGAAAACAAATCCTGTGGAATATTCAGCATGTATATAGAGTTTGCGCACCCATCATACATAATTTGTACAGAGGAGAGATAGTTAAAACAATAAAATAGAACAAACACATTAGTAGCACCGGTCTCCAGGGGGTGTTTCACAAAACTTGTCTTCAATGACAAATGACAGTTGTTGTTATAAGCTACTGAAATCCTTGCTCCCGATTGGCTATCAGCAGATTTGTCACTGATATTTGTCATTTGTCATTGAAAAAAGGCTTTGTGAAACGGGTCCCAGTTAATTGCATCAGATTGCTGGATTTTGAATTGAATATTAATAAACCATTCTTGAAAAGCAGGCGAAGATCCACCCCACTCTCATCATGTGTATATCTCCTGCTAAACGTATTCATTAAATAATGATTTTACAAGCCATTATTGATCATCATCAATAGTGATCTGTGAGTTCGTGACAGGTTCAGTGACCCATTCAAAATTCCATATCAAGTGTCTCTCCAAGCCCCTCTCCAAGTTCCTCGGTCTTGAGCCAACCGTTTCATCGTCTCATACCCCGTCGCTCCACATTGTGTGATTACATCAATTGATAGGATACCCAAAGTCACATCACTACTTCTAAATAATTACATCTGATAAACATGTAGTGGGCACAATCAAACTGGGGGTATCCATACTAAAGAGAAAAAGTTTAGTAAACTAAAACCATGTTCACCTAATACTATGCAATTTTTATATTGATGATATTAATCCCACTTCAAACACAATTAACGCGGCACAGATTTAAATAGATGTATGCTACCTTAGGTACTTTAAAAATCTTAATTTAGAGACATAAATACATTAAGCATGTTTAATAGGCGCATAGCATATTTGATAGTCTTGATGCTACGCAATAATAACCAGCAAAAAAATGGTGACGAGATGGACAATTTGTGATAGAAATCCTGTTCTGTTGCCTATAATCTGTCGGTTTAGAGTTTGTTAATTTGAAGTCAGTTTGGTGGTGTGACTGACAGGTAATGATTTTTCTAATGATTTTGTACAGAGCGGAAGTCACTGTCAAAACGAATATTAGAAGGGAAAAAAACAAATGATTAATCTATTTATTAATGAACGCTTTTCGTGAAAGTAAACAAAACAAAACAAATTCATAGAGCAACATTATTTTTCTTTTGCTAAAATGGCAGCTATACCTTTATTACTCAGTTACTAAGTACAGGATAATATTTCAGAAGTATTTGCAAGTCACATTCTAACAAAAGCTTGCATCATCTAATCTATCTACAGCTAATAAAAACAAAAATATTCATCAAATGACACAGTCTACAGCAGATACGGTTTCATAACTTATAAAAATCACCGACTTATTTTGATGAACTCTTTTGAAAATCTAGAATGTTGATTACAGAGAGGACTTGGAAACCAACAATGTAATGGAATTGAAAGACCCATTTTACAAAGATACAACTGATCCGAACCGCCCTACAATCAATCACAAAGTAACTATTGATCCCAATAGCAGCACAATCAATCAATCACAAAGTTACGATTGATCCTAAGTAAGCGTCGTACAATCAACCGAAAAGAAACAATTGTTCCCAATTCGCCTTATACAATCAATCACAAATTTAAAAATGCCCTGAATCGCCCTACGTTCAGTCCCAAAGTTACGATTGATTTAAATCGTTTTACAATCAAATCATCACCAAGTTTCGATTGATCAAGATCGCCATACAATCAATCTCAAATATATGAGTCGCCTAGTTCGACGTTGCTATTGGTGTCAGACAAAACTTTTATAAGGCGAGCCCCCGGGCAGTGACATATACACAAAACTACTGAAAACAACAAGATTCATTATTTACAAATATTCAGTAGCTGAAAATATGTTATTTCTTACAGATTTCTTCATTCAGCCTTTTAATTCCTCTACAACCACACACTTGCAAACACAACTTTTTTTAAAACTTTAAATATATCATGGAAAGGAATACGTCATAGGCTGCAGCTAAAAGTTTGAGATTTTTATTTTTTTTGATATGCTCCCAAGCTGTAACATACCCTTTGTAACGAGTTAATTCAAACAGCAGCTGCAATTCATTTCTTCTTCCAAAATATAGTAAATACAGTCGAAAAGACTTTCAAGAAATAAACTTAGGGGCAATTTGAATGGTTGTGCGACTCTTGCTCCTGAGCGCGACACTTGATAACATAATTATATTTCATACACTTTCCAAATTCTTAACTCAGTTCAACCGGGACCCAACGCTTCACCTTATTTTAAACCTTACTTAAAGCCCACCTGCAACCGTAACCCTTTCACGAAATAAAGCCTGGAGTAATTGTCACAGGAATAAATGTCCGGTCTCATTTGAATAACCTGCAGTACATCCCATGTAAATCATGATCAGTTTGTTATGATAAAATGGTAATGTTCACTTTATTTCAATAGGCGGTGGACAAAGCTAGTGAGATTGCTATAGATTGATTTCTCGAGAATATTTGCAACCATGTTGGTAGAAGCAGATTTAGAGATGTAACCATTCAATCAGAGTGCGCCACATAAAAAAAAAGGGCAAAAATGTAAAATTTGAATATGGAAAAGGCATGTCATTACTATGAACTGATGTGACTATGCGAATCACAAAGTCCCTTTTGGCCAGGCTCCAAGGCTTGCTTAAAGGCTCTCTAGATCTATGGTTCTTAAATGCACTCTGGTGCAATCTGAGCCATATTTTTGAAGCAATTCCAAACAAATTTATGACTAATAATCAACATATTTTTTTTTTTAGAATGACATTTTACATATTTTCAAACCTGTACAACAAAAATCACAACTTGTCACTGTTACATATTGAAACCTCCTGTGGACTACCATGCAAGGATTTACAATGATGAGAATACTTGATTGCTTTTGTGAAATCAAAATATGAGAAGGTAATCTTTTCCATTTTGTAGTATAGTGAACCTGACCGAGAAATTGTCTTCTGATACAGATACGATATATAAATTTGGCATTTTTAAAATAAATAGCTTCAGAAGAGAATTTTTAAAAAGCACAACTCTATGCTACTATATATTGTACCCATCACCACACTTCAAATTCCTTAAATTGTAGTTGAATAAGCAATACTTTTCAACGAGTAAATGGTCTGTTTTCATTCTACAGCTGCAACAGTTAACTTTCAGAAATAGCATCAGCATGAACAAATATTTCAGTCACATAATTGACAAGATAGATTACCAGATTATAAACAGTTCACTTAAACTAAAAAAAAACATGAACGGATAAATAATATGTTTACATTACTCTTATATGCTACACAACAAACTACCCAAACATTTCTTTTATACTGCTGATAAATTCGAACCAGGGCTTGCGCAGATAAAGTGTGTGGTAAACCGCCACAAAAAGTATGTTTGATATTTTAACGTGAAACATTGGCATAGTGTGAACTACTCTGGCCACAGTGAAACATTGGCGAAGTGTGAACGACTCTGGCCACAGTAAAACATTGGCAAAGTGTGAACTACTCTGGCCACAGTGAAACATTGGCAAAATGTGAACTACTCTGGCTACAGTGAAATATTGGCAAAATGTGAACTACTCTGGCTACAGTGAAACATTGGCAAAATGTGAACTACTCTGGCTACAGTGAAATATTGGCAAAATGTAAACTACTCTGGCCACGGTGAAATATTGGCAAAGTGTGAACTATTCTGGCCACGGTGAAATATTGGCAAAGTGTGAACTATTCTGGCCACAGTGAAATATTGGCAAAATGTGAATTACTTTGGCCACTGTGACACATTAACCAATTGAGAGCAACACTATGTAACCCACAGTGCACATAGTAAAACAGAGGCACATATCCACTGTGGCCAAACAAGAGTGTACAGTTAAAGCAGCCTTTATGAAAAGTGCAGAACTGGAACATTTGAAAAATTCAAACACACAGTGATCAACACTCTTTTCAAGCTGGCTTCACAGCTCTTTAGTTTTAACACTATATGACAAAAGTTTGACGCAATGTGTCTGGTATACCAGTCACATTGACCAGATTATTCGATGGGGATAAGGATGAGGATGTTGACAGTCGGAACGCATCTGATCAAAGTATTTCCATAGAATGTTCACACAATAATTCTAAACAATGTTCAAAACCATGTTTTTTAATTTTTAATTTAAGTAGTGTAGCAGTCCTCAAAACTCATCGGGAAATTTCTTTGACTTTTTCTTTTTAATCTTTTCGTAGTCTTCCCCGAATCCCCAGAAGGATGAGGGCTTACCTGCTGCGTCCCTCTCTCTTTTCGCAAACGCTGAAAATGTCGAGGCACAATTGCAGATGTAATGATCAGACTTGGCTAGAATGGCAAGGTCAACGTGTGGCTCAGATGGTTTGTGTTGGACCACCTTCACCTGAATGGGTAAAAATCAAAATATCCAGGAATTACAAATATCTGTCAAAGGAGATCAATTCATAACTTTCTAGTTCCTCCAAATTCTCGTTCGACAACATGCAAGCAAAAATCAAAACAACATTTTTTTTTTTTTTTTTTTTTTTTTTTTTTGGGGGGGGGGGCTTTTTTCTTATTCATGAATGACCACATGTTTTCAAAAGAATAGGACAAGTTATTTATTATACACAACAGTAAAGGCTTAAATGAGGCAAGCAAAAAACTGCTTTAACCTCCCCCCCCCCCCAAAAAAAAAAAAAAAAAAAAAAAAAAAAAATCCTTAAAAAGGATGGTTCTACCAAAATGATTATTTCTGTTCTGGCATGTTCTTCGTCAAGCCAATCCCATCTGTTTTACACGCAGAGCTTGTGATCACTTTCTACGTCCCTTTGTCCATCCAGTTTCTTTTCAGACTTCGTAGGTTTCCCCCTTGGTCACTGCGGTCACTCTGTTTCCAAAATCACCCATGCGTGACCTACCAAGGGTCATTTTTTGCCATTTTTGGCTCCACTTTTAGCAGTGTATTTCTATTTTCCCTATTCTGTATACTACAAATTTCTTTCAAACTACTATCGAGATCTTCAACCTTTATCAAGATCAGTGACAGCAAAGACGGACGTCATTGTATGTATATAGTTCTAACACAATTGCAGTTCTATTTATTACATTTATTATCGTTATTTTTCCTTTGTCTTGTTATTAACTGTATGATTTCCATTATGCTAAGAGAATGCAAAAATGCAAAACAGCTTTTACACTAAATTTTCTTTTCATCATATCTCATCAAGATATTTGTTTACATGAGTAAATAAATACATAATTTCATAAATACATGAGTACATGAATACATAAACAAATAAAATGACTGACTCAATGAATGAATGAATACATTAGAAAAAACAGAAAAAATTCTTCATTCTTTTTACCTTTGAAGGCAGAAACTTTTTCAGGGCCTTGATGTCCGGTTCCACATCAGATGCGATAAACACGCCCTTAGCTTTTATCTTCTTGACGACGGCTTTAATCTGTTCCTTGACGAGATCAAACGATAGGTTACACAGGTCGTCTGTCAAGTTGCCAAATTCGTTATTGTAACCAAGGCATTGAGGCGAAGCAAAACGTTGCTTCGCGCTTTTTTTCACCTGCCTGCATGCATTAATCTATGTGGATCAAGAGAATAGTGAGAATATAAATTAAAATATATTTGCTGACAACGATATGAAATAGTTTTGAATGTATAGAATGCTTTAGATAATTATGAAGGATTACATTATTGAGTAGTGCGCCATTACTTCTTTTATTTTCTAGTCATAATAAAGATAATAATATGTTTTGTTTACCTATGGTAACCTCATCAGTATTAATACTGTTCTCCATGAGAGCTCTGTAATCACAGTATTGCCCCCAGTTTTCAAATACATGTAGCTGTATAGTATATCAGTCTTCCTTTAACCCAATGTACAATACTGATTAGTGATTATAAAGAGCACCGACATCCTGTACACCTATATGTTTTTCACTTTAATTATATAACATCATTTTTTTTTTACTCAACTCCCAAAATATCTAGTTTAATACCAATTATTTCAGTAGAATGTTCTTCTATTATTGTTTGTGTACCTGTATGTTATGATTATCGTGATTGTATATACTTTGTATCTTCTAATCTGTAAAAGGTTTTGCAATTCGGCCTTTGGCCACGATGAAGTTGTATTAATGAACGTTTCAATTAAAATCCAGTCAAAACTTGCTCTCAAAAAGTCCAGACAGAATACTGAGAATAGAATTAAATAATTAAATAATGCTGTGGTTATACTGCCTCATATGTGACCGTGGCTTAACACTTACCCAGTCTGAGCCTTGTCGTATGTGCACCCCAACAAATGGTCCCTCAGAGAGATTCTCCTCGATGAATTTATCTGCTTGCTTCTCGATTTCTTCAGACCAGTGGAGATATCGATGGAGCTCTCTGTTCTCCCTCGTCACCGGGAAGGCGGCCGGAGCCCCAGGAAGCGCAATCACTGGATACTCTGAAACTGGAAATCTGGATTATCCCAAAGATAACATTACGCCATACACAAACCCGCGATCCTACAAAGCTAAAATTATAAATCTCCAAAAGAAAGCTTAGGAAAAAGATGTATTTTGTACGTTATTACAGTTATCTGAAGAAGAGAGTTATCTATAAAGGGTTCATGATATTAGTTTGACAGTTACAAATTATATATAATTCCTCCAAAATGGGAATGACTGTCAGCTGTGCTACAGCTTTAATACCTGGCATCCTTCCGGTAGGTCTTGTTATAGATAATATTTGGAAATGTAGTCTTCAGTAAATATGTCTGCTTTTTCAGTACAAGTTTTCAGAAAATTGAGGAACGTATAGTTTGGAACATTTGTTCTATTGAAAATCTACTTTAAATTACACGAAGCTCTTCAACTCCACCATGCTCGTAGTGCCTCAAAGCCAAATATAACACAAACACTAGATGAATAATATTCAAATTCTAAGCACATACAATGACAAGTGTCCCTTTCTTGAGATGACGATATCATACCTTTCTTCCCACATTCCTCGTGCAAGTGGTTCATGTGTGTTATTATAAGAAAGCGGACTATATTCTGCAAACTCGTTGAAGTCGATGTCAAAGTTATCCCAGAATGGCCCGAAAGGATTACCTTCTTTCATCTTGCAGTCTCTTTTAGTTTTATCTCTAAAATGGTTACAGAATCCTAAACAACAAAAAAGAAGGAACCTCATCATCGTTATGATCATCATCATCATCATCACAACAACAACAACGACAATTATAATAATGATAATAATACTAATGATAGTGGGTTCTTGTTAAGCACTCGTGTTTGTCATACCTGACACTTCTGGTGCTTTACTGTTATTACCCCGGTTTTAGCATGGCTGCTAACACTATAAACATGACGGACAAAGAAAGAGGACAAAATATACAGTTCCTCATTCTACCCTCAACAATTGATGTGGTAGACAAAGGAACATCCCTTCAATGCTATTATGTAAAAATGTGTAGAACAGGTGAATATGCATGTGACACCTGTTCTACACATTTTTGCATAATAGCAGTGAAGGGGTGTTCCTTTGCCTACCACAGCAATGGTTGAGGGTAGAATGAGGAACTATATATTTTGTCCTCTTTCTTTGTCCGTCATATTCATAATGTAAGACATCGCTCTAGCATTGCAGGGAACTAAAAGGACAGTAGTGCCGTGACGGGGATTTGAATTTGAATTTGAATTTGATTGTGCTAGGACATCTCCACCTCATCAAACCCATTCTGAGGGGTGTTTCACAAAGATCCTAAGTAGAACTTATCTCTAAGTTGGACTGAACAATTATGGAAAGCCATTAGCATCTTTGAAAATATTTTGTGAAAGTTATTTTAAAAGGCACAAAACGTTGATTCAAATCATTCATATGTCGTATTGTCAAGGAGATTACGTGTTCTCGATGTGGAATTTATAAAAAAAGTCTAAAATACTTGAATTTTCGCTATTAAATATATTTTATTTTAAGGCTTCAAATGGCCTTCCATAATCTTTAAGTCCAACTTGGAGTTAAGTTCAACTTAGGATCTTTGTGAAACACCCCCTGGCCATCCAGCCACCTTCGCCCTATCTATTTGAAATGTGACCAGGCCGTACGTTTAAATAGGAAAAGAAAGATCCCAACATATTAAAGAGTAACCGGAATGAATACGTTTTAACATCGGTTTGAATATGACGAATACGAGAATAAATTAGTCCGTCTTTCAAGAGACCATCTTCATACCTATACGTTTCCCTTCTGGCCACACAGATGGGGCTAACTCCTCCATGAAGGTTTCCATGGTGATGACCCGGTGATATTCACGGAGCGGGTCAACCTTGAAGTACTTGTCAAAGGGAATTTGAACCTGGAAATGCAAGAGTTTTCAATAAGACGTTCAATTTTTGAAAAGCTATTTCTACAGATGAAAAAAGGAACATAAGATCATGTTATGCAATTTTGTGGACAACTTGCTTGATCTATATATTAAAGGCCCACTGCACTACTTGTAGCTACTTGCGCCCTCTATATAACAAACAATGCCTAATCGGTGACCATTGGTCCCCCATGATCCTCTTTTTCTTATGTTAACTGAGAGCTGAGTTGATGAGATAACCACCTGTCCAGTGACCTTGTAGGGCGGTCTAATCCCTCCTGTAAACTATGGCAGATAAGCTTTAATACCGTAAAGGAATAGGCCTACCCTTTCAAAACAAGGCATTCCCCATTTTGTGCTTTGCCTCAGTAATCTTTGATTCAGATCCCTAAAAAATATAACACATGAACGAGAGGAAAGGACAAACTTTCTGTACACACAGTATCCACTATTTTTTGCATGACCACAATGCATTTGACGCCAGGAATTCAAAAAAGGAAAAAGACACTTTAACATCCTTAAAATGGCAACAAATTGATAAGCTCTAAATCACTGTTTTTCGAAACAAAATAAGCAATTTTATAACTTTCCAACATAGCTTATAACCATGCCCATTATTTTGAGGGGCAGGATATTCTATTGGAAAAATTTAAACAATATCAGTAAAATAATTAAATAATTGTTGCCAATTTGAAGAATTAATGTCATCATTTTAGCCCTAAGAAAATTCCTGCACCGAAAAGAATAACTTACAGCACGCCAATTGTTTTTGGTATGGTATTCATTCCATGGTGGAAGAATAAGAGTTCGGTTCAGACCATGAGCGAAGGAAAGAGCTCCCAGAAAATGATCTCCTTGGTTACCAAAACGACCTGGTAAAATGAAGAAAAAAAAGGATAAGATTTTCAGTTTACCGAAGAAAAGAAAAAGGCTGATCATGATAAGCATAAGAAAGGGATTTTTTCTCTTTTAAAGGGAGGGGGGGGGGGGGGGGGGGGTCTTTAAAATTGTGATTTTTACACATATAATAATAATATAGACCTCTAATATTATACAGTTATTGACTGGCAGGGGGTGTAATATAACATTATTTGGACCGCTGAAGGGAGTTATATTTCCCAAGTGGTTATATTTTCCCGAAGCGCGCAGCGCTGAGGGAAAATATAGTCACGAGAGGAAATATAACTCCCTTCAGGTCCAAAGAATGTTATATACCCCCTGCCAGTCAATAACTGTTATATTAGATAGCCCTTTTTTGTGTGTGGGGGGGGGGGGTCCAATAAAAATTTTCCCCAATTTTTTTTTTCCCCTTTTTTTTTTCGGAAATTACGGAAAAATAATCCGTCGAGATAGTTCAAGAAAGAAAAAGAACCTTACAAAAAAAAAAAAAAATTATACAAAAATTTGGGGGGGAAAAAAAAAAAAAAAAAAATCGAAAAAAAAAAATTCTTACCCAAAAAAGCATTTTTCGGGAAAAAAAAAAATTACCCAAAAAAGCATTTTTGGGGAAAAAAAGAAAATGTGGAAAAAATAATTTCAAGGGAAAAAAAATTCATGAAAAAAAAATATTGAAAAAATTAAATGACCCTCGGTAATGGTGTAACGTGTGTAATTGGTGACATACAGTCCTCAAGAGGGCGACATACACTGATTAAAAATATATTCATTTCACCGGCCGGTTAATATAACACCGAAAAGTGACCGGCCAGGAAAATATAACAATTTGGATCCTCGCAATTGATATCACGTGACGAGCTCTGGACCAATCACATCTCGGTATCTGTCTAAGCTATCTAATATAAGTACATGTAAATATACTTTGTACACATAATTTGTTCAAATATGAGAAACATATACAAATATAAGTTTTCTGTGTCAGACATATTTACATCAGCATATTTTCATTTTTATTTTCACCATGAGTCATCATTATCAACATGATCAACATCATCATCAGTTTTTGTTTTAAATTGTTTATCATCGAAAGTTATGAATTTTTGAAAAAGTTTGTAAAACTATAGAAAAATGGAAATCACTACACAAATTGCCAATTTGGTTATCGGTTTATGACGTCATGTCCTCACTATTTATCAATCGCTTTATATAGTTTAATCCCATTAATTTCTCTTTTTATTCCCCAAAACTTGACTTCCCGATGCCTTTGCCCAGGTTATAGGATTTGTATCATATTGCTTAGATGAAATTGCACAAAATCTTTTATGAACTTTGAAGAATTGACATTATTTTCGGAACATTGTATATTCATAATTATTGATTTTTATCTAAATAGTTTATCACAACTCACATTTTTTTACATGATTTAACTGAAAAAATACTCTATATTAGTGCATCCACACATGAACATATTACTATCAATCTAACTTGCATGCTAGTGTGAAGAAATAAGATTCTTAAGGGGGAAATAGGACATTTATATCATCGATATAAAGAAAATAATTAGGGGGTAGTGAGGACATGACGTCACAGACTCATGAGTGAATTTCCAATTTGTCTTGTGATTTTCATTGTTCCATAGTTTTACAGACTTTTTCAAAAAATCATAACTCTCTAAGCATCCATATCCGATTTTTTTCAAACTTTCTTTGATTGGTTTGTCTGATTTTCCTGCTTCCATTGAGAGTAAGTTATTTTTGGAGTGGACTTGGCCTTTAAAGTGATACAGCATGGCTGAGATGCATATCTCTAGTGCCTATGCAAATTGAAGGGCGATGGAATCGGTTTCAAATGGCAAGGACGTTGTTGCACACAATCACAATTTATGTATGACTGCATGATATGCTTAGTATGATGTTATTCAGTAATAAAGCACAATCAGTAATGGTGGACTCTATGACTGTGTAACTCTTGGCGTTTTGATCAGGTTTGTAGCATAATTCTCGAATTCATATTTATATTCATATTTCCGATCTGTTTTAACAAAACAAATAGTTCATCTTTTGAACTTGGTTTAAGTCACAATAAGCTGGATAATGCACTCGACAAGCCTCGTGCATTATCCGATTGTGACTCAACCTGCGTGCAGTGCATATTCATAAATGCAGTCGCAAACCTGAATTATATGTATACTATCAAACCTACCCATGCAGGGGCAGTAGACTACATATCCATTGGGGTCAACGCTACTTGTTTCAGATCCAAAGATTTGTGAGAACAGCAACAAGAGTTTGAGGCTACATAACATCAAAGAAATATGCTTGCTTGCAGTATCCATTACTGTCATCAGCCAGCTGCAAAATGAAGGAAAACAAAGGAAAAGTAGTCCATGTACGGACAATTATCCACAAACTAATCATTCTCATATTGTACACTAACGATAAGGTCTAGCCAGCTGATTTCGAACAGGATTCAGGAGACATCTACACTGTTGGTCATAATGGTGGAATATTTATTTTTAACCCAGTTTAGGGAAGGATTTAAAAAAAAAATTATTTCTAATAGATCTAGATAATGGCATATATTCTCAGATTTTATTGAATATTAATTTGCGAGTGTTTGTTTTGCGTGACTGCTAAATCATATGTGGGATACTATGCTAATCAGCTAGGGAACCTACGTCCTTAAATCATAATTGACAGTAATGAGGATTAATGCCTCACAAAAGGGCACTAATATAGCTGATCGACACGATTTTTATCCTGGGGCCTCACAGTAACGAGGCCATTGCTTAGCCCCTGAATCATGACTGTACGCAGTGTTTGCTAGGGTACGCGGCCGCCCCCACAAATCCCCCAAAACGAAGAAAATGCAATAAATTGTCAAAAATTCATTGCATTTTCCCCCGGCCCCCAACAGGAAAAATTCCTCCGTAGGGCCATGCATTATGGTTCAAGGCATGGCCACACAGAGGAATTTTTCCTGTTGGGGGCCGGGGGAAAATGTAATGAATTTTTGACAATTTATTGCATTTTCTTCGTTTTGGGGGATTTGTGGAGGCGGCCGCGTACCTTAGCAAACACTGCGTACAGTCATGATTCAGGGGGCTAAGCAATGGCCTCGTTACTGTGAGGCCCCAGGATAAAAATGGTGTCGATCAGCTATATATAAGTGCCCTTTTGTGAGGCATTAATACTCATTACTGTCAATCATGACTTAAGGACGTAGGTCCCTTAGCTGATTAGCATAGTAGCACACATATGATTAAGCATTCACAACAAAAAAAAACTCGCAAATTAATATTCAATAAAATCTGAGAATGTATGCCATTATCTAGATCTATTAGAAATAAATAATTTTTTTAAATCTTTCCCTAAACTGGCGTAAAAATAAATATTCCATCATTATGACCAACAGTGTAATTTGATGAAGTATACTGAAGTAAAACGGTACTTTAAACGAATATTAGTAGACTTAAACTAGAGGTGGTAGATGGTTGATGGCGGAGTTAAGCAGGGCTCCCACTTAGCCGAGTTGGAGCCTCGAGTTGTGGTGAGCTGGCGCGAACTTATGGTAAGCCGTTTTATCATTAAAACATATTTCTTGATATCAAGAAATAACTTTACGTTGTAAAGCAATGGTAATTCTTGATATCAAGAATTGAATTCGTGATATCAAGAATTCGATTTTGTGATATCAAGAAGTGAATTCTTGATATCAAGAAATATGTTTTAATGATAAAACGGCTTGCCATAGGGAGAAAGAGGGAGAGGGAGAATGAGAGGAAGTATAATTACTGTGTATGCAAAATTACAGTTCATAGTGCCACATACATATTAAAACAGTACAATAAATAAAGTTATACTTTTAAGGAAATGGGAATGCGCATGCGGAAATTGTGAGTTATGCTTAAACTATCAAAATATCACACTAAAGATTTAAACTTACTATATTTCAAAACCAGACTTTGAACATGTATTGTGTAAACTTCAATGATGATATCTTACTGAAGAAGGTACAAGATAAATTCGATCAGAAAAGGGAAGAACAAGGCAAGGGAGAGAGAGAGAGAAGAAAGAGAGAGAGAGAGAGAGGGGGGGGGAGAGAGGGGGGCAAAGATATGGAAGACAGAAAAAGGTAGGTAGATAGGCGTATGAGAAAGAGAGAGGCGAAAGAGTTATGAGGGAGAGAAAGAGCGAGAGAGAGAGGGAGAGAGGGGGAGAGGGAGAGAGATCAGAGAAGGGGGAGTCCTGTGGAAAAGGTGGGTTGAAACAAGTTATTCATAATTAAAAAAATAATAATAATATGACAAATTTATATAGCGCTTGTGACAAAAGTTGATAATTGATACCACTTCAACCATTTGAACACAACGCAAGATTCCGAGCAGTTACAGATGTTAAACAAAAATATTGGTATTTATTTTGTAATTTGCTGTTGAATATGAGAGCAGAAAGCAGCGCAGTGAGCGTGAACATACTCACAGAACAGCCATCGACAAAACAATTTCAGTACATCATTTCCATATACAGTACAGTACGTACATAAAGGTTTAAAATACAGTCTAGGCTTTCCGCGAGCGGTTTCATTGGAATTATTAATAATAATATGTCTTGTTTACCCAGGGTGCGACTTTGCGTTTTACAACCTGGCCTGGACCTTTTCCCAATACATTTCAAGGAACCGACTGGGAAAAGTCTATCCATGACAAGATATTGCGCGCGCACGTAGCTCTTCTGCAATGCTCAACGTACGTCCTATATGTCCAGTGTCGAGGTACGCGGTACATGTACTTTTGTATCGAGACGTACGAGTGAGAGAAAAACAACGAATAACAACAGAAGGAAATAGAGAAAAACAATAAATAATTAAAGAACAGAGAGGAAACAAAGAATGTCATAAGCAGAGAGAGAAAACAAAAACTAACTTGAAAGAAAGAGAGAAATTAGAGAAGGAATTAATCAAAGTAAGGAAAGAGAGAAACCAAATAATATTATGGTTTTTGTGGTTTAATTCCGCCTTCTTCAGGGTTTCAATTTTTGACGTGTAGCCTACTTTCAAACCATTTGCTGATTCGGACCCCCCCCCCCCCCCCTAACACACGTGTACACATATCGACACATACACAGACTACACTCGACATAATATGTGTAATGGTAATGTAATACATAAACTGTGATTTAAATATTGCACTCGTACCATTTTCTATTATTGTGGGATCACGTCTTTCATTTTTTAAATTCATGTCATTTGTTTCTAAGACCTAATTTCTCTAATTCTCTTGACCACTCTCCCTTCATATTTGTTTTCTAAGACCTCCCCCCCCCCCTCATCTCTCTTCATATTTGTTTTCTAAGACCCATTTTCTCCCCCCCCCCCCCCCCCCCCATCTCTATTCATATTTGTTTTCTAAGACCTCTCTCTCTCGACCCACTCTCTCTCTCGTATGTATTTCTCAGACCCCTCTTTCTTTCTCTCTCATTAACCCCCTCTTCATATTTGTTTCTAAGGCCTCTCTCTCTCTCTTCATATTTGTTTCTAAGACCCCCCCCCCCTCTCTTTCTCATTTCTTGATATTTGTTTCTAAGACCTCTCTCTCTCTAGCTCTCAATTCATGATATTTGTTTCTAAGACCCCCTCTCTTTCTCACTTCTTGAATTCATATTTGTTTCTAAGACCTCTGTCTCTCTCTCCCTTTCTCTCTTTCTCATTTTAAATTCATGATATTTGTTTATAAGACCTCTCTTTCTCTCTTTTTCCATTCATCACTTTGTCTAGTGTAATGTACAGACACATAACATATAAAGGAAATTATACACCAGTTTTACATGAATTCATTTGCACTTTATTTACTGCTTTACATTCATATACTTTTTTTTTCGTGAAGGTAATCTAATCCTTCAATGTCAGAGAAGTAATACAAAAGATACAGGAGTATGTGTATGCATAAATAGTTATATAAAGAAGAAATATGTAGTAAAAGTGAAAGCAAACAATAGTAGAAATTTGAACAGATAATTTGACAGTGTGTTAAGATTTAGATGCAAGAAATGACTATAAGAAATTTTTATTTGAAAATACATGCACATGTAGATAAAAAGAGATCTGAACATAGGCGGATTCATGGGCGCAGAGGCGTGCACCGCACTTTACTTTGGAGATAACGAACTGAATACACATAATAATGGATGATACGTGAACATATTTTTGCTAACTATGGATGCCTAACAGTTACAGTTAATCGTACTCATATAACTACAATTCAAAACTGGATTTACAGTATTCATACCCGCAAAGGCGTCTGCATTGCCACTCCGTCATCATCCTCGATGAATTCCATCGTGCAGCAAGCTTCTTAACTTGTTGTTCTGAACTTGAAATCCTATATCTTCTCCCTTAATCTTCAGTATTGCAGCTGCGTACGGTGTGTATAAATGCTGCATCGACGTACGTCTGTGCATGTACGATTCGATTTGGAACTGGCGCGCCCGATCGAGGAGCGTAGACTAGACTCATTCAAGCAGTTTCATTGCTATTTACCGGGAAAATGTCCAGGCCAGGGTGTAAAACGCTGGGTAGCCTCATCAGTATCGAGAAATTCCCCTCGCTAGCGTGTAAAAAAAAAAAAAACGCCAACCCCCCCCCCCCCCCTGGTCACATATTTATGTACTTACGCGTCCACGGATGTTACCCAGGCCTATTACTTAGGGAGGGAATTTGTTGGCATATTAAATGCCCTTTTACAAAAATACTTTACAATGTGAAGTCAACTATTTTATACGTCTTCATACGATGAAGTTTACTATTTCTTACGCATTTCGTAAGAGTTAAATTTACTGTGTTGGACTGCCAGTTCACTTTCCTTCATGAATGGCGCCTACATTGTAATTCCGTTATTAAAAAATGAGATTCAAAAGAAAGAACTATTTCAAAGCGTCTCTGCTACCCTTAATTGATCTAGAAAAAGTAGAAACAAATCTTCTTCAGAATCAAAATTAATACTAACTTTTGTGTCTGATCACTTTTTCTTTGTATGTTATGTAATAGAATCACATTGTAGTTGCCCTGTGAGAAGTGCCACGAGCAATGGCCACGGTAGCGCTGCTCGAGTTATTAATATGTTGGCCAATATAGGTCTACTTTTTAAAGGGGAAAAGTTCATGGTGGTTAGTGCTAATTCTGATAATTTTTTTCTTCTTCAATCTAATGGCAGGAGAAGGCCTTAATTTTGTTTTGTTCCACCCCCCCCCCCTCCGCCTAGTTTCAATTACACCAGTTAAAACTAATTTTTAGTGGTAAAAAAGTATACCCAGACGATGCGTGTCCGGATAGGTTGTGTATCCGGACAGATGATTTAAAACAGCAATTTAAAGTTTAAAAGCAATATTTCATACATTTTTGACACTCATGTTGAACAATAATTCATTTCAAAGACAAATATGTTTGATATTTTTAATGGTTAGTGCTATTTGACGATATTCATCGTTAAATCCGAAGGCAAAAGAGAAGGCTCTGTGTTTGTTAAGTGTCAGGACATTGAACCGTTCATTTTATTATGGTTTCAAGTACCAACAAATTACAATTACAAACTTGACAAAAAGGTTACAAATTAGATCAATTTTCCGATGTGATATGATGAAGAACTCCTTACTACTTACTTTCCTATGTATTCTTCTGAAATCAGACTTAAGCTTCTATACTCAGATCCCAATTCCTCCTTCGTGTTAAGTTGGCTGGATAATGACTGGATGGGTTGGCGTCGAAGTAGTAGGTTCGCTTTTCCGGTGCTTGTCCGATTTCAAAATTGTAGACACTAGATGGCTTTATAGCCTTAAAAGCTGGCTGGCGTGGTGATAATACGAAATATGAAATTGTTGATATCAATATCATACCACCTATCCTCATACGGGTAGGATGGATAACCGTATTGTGCAGCGAAAGCAGAACACAATTGGTAGTGAAAGGCTGTAGTGTACACACAAATTTACAGCTTTATAAAATACAAGATGAATTATGACTGCACTGTCGTCGAGCTCGTTCGAAAGCAACCGATAATCGAGATTTTCTTTTAATTGTGGGAGCATATTATTAGACGTTAGACAGGGGCGCCAACGGATCGCGATTAAGCATGAATCAATCGACTTTCCTCTTCTAATTGAATTGAGAACTGCAGCTGACGTGCATGAGTACAGGTCATTGCACACGTTATCGGCTAACAATAGAACTGTCATAATCATAAAAGCAGGGCTCCCACTTAGCCGAGTTGGAGCCTCGAGTTGTGGTGAGCTGGCGCGAGCTTATGGCAAGCCGTTTTATCATTAAAACCTATTTCTTGATATCAAGAATTACCATTGATTTACAACGGAAAATTATTTCTTGATATCAAGAATTGATTTTCTTGATATCAAGAAATATGTTTTAATGATAAAAACGGCTTGCCATAAGCTCGCGCCGGCTCGCCGCAACTCGGGGCTCCAACTCGGCTAAGTGGGAGCCCTGCTTTAGGGATAGTATAGCACGAGAAGAATGAAATACAGATAAAGCGTTACAAAAACTCGAATTCTTTTTCGTACATAACATAGCAAAACTGCAACATATAACAAAGCTTTTTGTCTTCTATCCATATGGTCTACAAATCATTTTAATTACAAATAATAATAATCATCAAGTGATTAACACAAACAACATGTTTACATATGACGTGGGAGGAGCACAAAACGAGATGAGAGGAACGTTTGTTTTCTGCAATTATTTACTTTCAATAAATCACTAACACCAAACATTGATTACATTACGTTAGGCCTACAATACTGTTCAATATTATATATATATATATTTAGCGGTTGCTTATGAATATTCGACTATCACTGCTACCTGCATTTGCATAGATAATTATTATTGTATAGAGACGAGAGTACTGTAAACACGAATACATGTATTAGGGAATACTGGGATATATCGAAAGTATAATTTGTTATGAAGCATATTCATTTTCTGTTCTCTATTAATTCTTAATCAGACATTAATTAATTGGTGTAAATTATACCGTGAACAAGTCGGTAGCCATGCAACTGGTCTGATGTCAATATCACCCGCAGTCTTTTCGGGGTTTCCCGGACTCATTATGTCCCTTAAATTTATATTACTATGCTTTGATTCAGGTCTTCAGTCAGGAAGAAGTTGTATGAAATGTGGGTTACAGACACATTAGGTATTAGAAGAAGAAAAAATATACACATTTTTGAGAGACAGAGACAGAAAAGGAGAAGTGAGATAGAGAGAGAGAGAGAGAGAGAGAGAAAAGGACAGAGAGAGACGGATAAAGAGAAAGAGAGAAGAGAGAGAGAGGAGAGAGAGAGAGAGAGAGGGAGAGAGAATTGAGAGTGAGGCAGAGAGGGGGAATGAGAAAGAGAGGGATTATATAGAGAGAGAGAGAGAGAGAGAGAGAGAGAGAGAGAGAGAGAGAAGAGGAGAGAGAGAGTAGAAAAGGAGAAGTGAGAGAGAGAGAGAGAGAGAGAAGAGGAGAGAGAGAGAGAGTAGAAAAGGAGAAGTGAGAGAGAAAGAGAGAGAGAGACGGATAAAGAGAAAGAGAGAAGAGAGAGAGAGAGAGAGAGGAGAGAGAGAGAGAGAGAAATAGAGAGTGAGGCAGAGAGGGGGAATGAGAAAGAGAGGGATTATATATATATAGAGAGAGAGAGAGAGATATATATATAATATATATATATATATATATGAGGAGAGAGTGAGAGAGAGTAGGAGAAAGAGAGGAAGAGGAGAGGAGAAGAGAAGGAAGAGAGAGAAAGAGAGAGTGGGGCAGAGAGAGGGACTGATAGAGAAGGATTATGTATAAAGAGAGAGAGAGGGGGAGGAGAGACGAGGAGAGATCGAGGGAAACATTATCTGTCCCTTGTCAAAGCACAAATAATTAGTAAAAAGAGGGAAACAAACAACAAACAAAGAGAAACGGAGAGATAGAGAAGATAAAGAAAGGCCTTTATTACACTGTTCGGGTGCCATTTTAGCCACTGCCCCAAAATTCAAGCGAACAAGCCCCCTGGATGGCTGGATCCCCCACTGATAATAATTCATCTATAATATAATAATTATGCTTTAATTCAGGTCTTCAATCAGGAAGAAGTTGTATGAAATGTGGGTTACAGACACATTATGAAAGTATTAGAAAAAAAGAAATATACAATTATTTTTTTTGAGAGAGGGAAACATATATATATATCGGTCCCTTGTCAAAGCACAAATAATTAATAAAAAGAGGCACACTGTATACATCTTATTACACTAATAACTACATACCTATACAAACTCTTTGCAAAATCAATATTTCTTAATTTCACTTTGAATCGATTTGACACTTGAGTTCACAGTTTACGAAGAAGTTGTATGAAATGTGGGTTACAGACACATTAGGTATTAGAAGAAGAAAAAATATACACATTTCTGAGAGACAAAGACAGAAAAGGAGAAGTGAGAGAGAGAGAGAGAGAGAGAGAGGAGAGAGAGAGAGAGAGAGAGAGACGGATAAAGAGAAAGAGAGAGAGAGAGAGAGAGAGAGAGAGAGAGAGAGAGAGAGAGAGAGAGAGAGAGAGAGAGAGAGAGAGAGAGAGAGAGAGAGAGAGAGAGAGAGAAAAGGACAGAGAGAGACGGATAAAGAGAAAGAGAGAAGAGAGAGAGAGAGAGAGAGAATTGAGAGTGAGGCATAGAGGGGGAATGAGAAAGAGAGGGATTATATAGAGAGAGAGAGAGAGGAGAGAGAGAGAGAGAGAGAGAGAGAGAAGAGGAGAGAGAGAGAGAGTAGAAAAGGAAAAGTGAGAGAGAGAGGGAGAGAAGAGGAGAGAGAGAGAGAGAGAGTAGAAAATGAGAAGTGAGAGAGAAAGAGAGAGAGAGACGGATAAAGAGAAAGAGAGAAGAGAAAGAGAGAAGAGAGAGGAGAGAGAGAGAGAGAGAGGAGAGAGAGAGAGAGAAATAGAGAGTGAGGCAGAGAGGGGGAATGAGAAAGAGAGGGATTATATATATATATATATATATAGAGAGAGAGAGAGATATATATATATATATATATATATATATATGAGGAGAGAGTGAGAGAGAGTAGGAGAAGAGAAGGAAGAGAGAGAAAGAGAGAGTGGGGCAGAGAGAGGGACTGATAGAGAAGGATTATGTATAAAGAGAGAGAGGGGGGGGGGGGGGAGGAGAGGCGAGGAGAGATCGAGGGAAACATATATCTGTCCCTTGTCAAAGCACAAAATTTGTGCAAAATTATTTAATAATTAGTAAAAAGAGGGAAACAAACAACATACAAAGAGAAACGGAGAGATAGAGAAGATAAAGAAAGGCCTTTATTACACTGTTCGGGTGCCATTTTAGCCACTGCCCCAAAATTCAAGCGAACAAGCCCCCTGGATGGCTGGATCCCCCACTGATAATAATTCATCTATAATATAATAATTATGCTTTAATTCAGGTCTTCAATCAGGAAGAAGTTGTGTGAAATGTGGGTTACAGACACATTATGAAAGTATTAGAAAAAAAGAAATATACAATTTTTTTTTTGAGAGAGGGAAACATATATATATATATATATCGGTCCCTTGTCAAAGCACAAATAATTAATAAAAAGAGGCACACTGTATACATCTTATTACACTAATAACTACATACCTATACAGGCTCTTTGCAAAATCAATATTTCTTAATTTCACTTTGAATCGATTTGACACTTGAGTTCACAGTTTACATTTGTAAACCTTTCATTTTCTTTTTCTTCTTCTTCCTCTTCCTCTTCTTCTTCTTCTTCTTCTTCTTCTTCTTCTTCTTCTTCTTCTTCTTCTTCTTCTTCTTCTCCGTCTTCTTCTTCTTCTTCTTCTTCTTCTTCTTCTTCTTCTTCTTCTTCTTATTTTAGCGTATAATATGAGCACAAGAAGCAAGTCGGCTCTTAAATAAAACTAGTTGAAACGCTCATAGGTTTAATGGTTTTAATAATGTCTCTTCTTGGGTTATAAGTCACATTTTTAAAGAAAGTTATATAACGAGAAAGGTTGTGTTTGTTGGCGTTGGTGTCGCATGTAACTTTGCCAGGAGGGATCGAACACTTGACAGGCCGATATTTGTCTTTCCTCTGAGAGTAAACCACGCCCATCTATCTCTATCATGTGACCCTGTTGTCGACCGTTGATCGTCAGATGCATTCCTCATCGTAGCCGAAGTCGTTGTCGATGTCGCTGTCGCTCTGGCTTGCGATTGGTTGGTATATGATGACGCTATTAAGAGAGATCCATCATTCTTTCGTCCGGTCAACTTCAAAATGTCTGCTAGCAGACGACGAAAAACGTGATCGGAACCAATGACGTCATCAGGCGCACGGTCCAGGAAGGGATTTGTTTTGTTCTCCGTGTGGATGGTTGGTTCAAAGTTCTCCGTGTTTGTGACGTATACAAAAGTTGAAATGGAGACGATGGTTTCATTCAACTCGTCCTGCATAAACAATAATTGTGTTCAAGATGAACTTCCATATTGTTGTTGTTTATTTGTTTTCTCTCAGCCCCCCCCCTCCCCCACCCGTCTTTATTAAAAACAATGTTTGAACATCCATTTTAGCTGAGGCAATCGTAATGAATGAAATGAAGATGATTGTGAACACTTTGTCTCATAGGAGATTCTAGGACAACAAACTACCACATACTTCTACTTCTATGGTAATACTCATCAACGCCTGTTCAGCATCCAGATGAGGGTAAAGCATAGAGTTGTTATATTACAGCTCTATGCGGTACAGTTCCTAAAAAGGGAACTAAATTGTTTCAAGAGACAATTACATCCGAAAACTTCGCGTAGGATAACCACCACCTTTATCACGGACAACTACCATGACTAATTGCATTGTATTGGAAGGGGGAACGGTGTCTGGTGTAACTGTCCTATGGGTATAACTGTTTGATAACAATTATCACTTATTAGGCAGTGAGGTAGTGCATTTCTATTTTTAATATCTTATCAAGTACATTTTGTGACGAAATTAATTTCAGAATTAAAAAATGCCAAAGTTTTATTTTCGATTAAGAAACAGAAAATTTGATATTCGGCAAAGAGTCATCAGCCCCTATGGCGATATTATGCATGTACACTTATTTGCACTCTCATTGGGTATCACTTAAGCAAATTTATAAACCCGTTGTTGTTTTTTCTCACTAACTATAAGTTGCTGGCAATTTCAATTCGCAACAGTAGCAATATCATTTGTAATAAAAATGCACAGACAGAATTTAGATATATATTGAGAATTTAAAAAAATATATATTTGGTGGCTGTAGTCCGAATATTGGTAATTAGAAATTATTGGGATGGGGAATGCAGCCTGAATGCAGTCCTCTAAGCCCCCCCCCCCTCTCCTGTATATTTACAAAACACAAGCAGATTTCCTCATTGTTGTTATATGTGAAGGAGGGTGTTCAAATGCATGTCATTTCAAAATTCTTGGAGCAGGGACTGCAGCCCCTTTAGCCCACACACCGCCCCTCCGACTCGTTCATCCATGAATACAGTCAATGTAGATCAATCACCATTGACACCAACATTACTGACACCAATAACCATATAGACCTACAAGTCATGATACTTACAGCCATCGACGTTCCTTGAATGGGTCGAGGCATGGAACAGGGAATCCCTCCTAAACACATACAGATAGCCGTCAGGAAGAAAATATGTGACATAGACATATTTCGTCGTTGATTTCTCTTTCAGAACGCTTACGAAATGAGACACATTTCCATGTCAGAGGCAGGTCTGTTTGCTTTTTAAAAATTCAATTCACAAATTCGCTGGGAGCTCCTACTACCAAACATATCAGTAGATGTATTTACGAATTGTATTTGTGACGTCACGGCCAAAGTCACAGAGTGCTCCGATTGGTCGTGGCATAGTGCGGTTGCAATCACGGAGGAGAGGGGGGGGGGGGGGGGGGGTGTATGGAAGAGTAGCGGTGGTCTCACGAGGTGGATGATGTGCGAGTGAATGAAGCGTCCGAGCAGGGTAGGGTATGGGAAAGGATGGTATCATCCAACACAAACGTTCTCTTTACCTCTCCCTCTTTTTCTTCTTCTTTTTATTTATTAGGGAGTGGATAAGTTTCCTCTCCCTTAGCTAAATCATCATTATTGGGCGATACGAAGAGGATTACATTCAAACTCCCGGGTAAACAGTCGATGGACAGCCCTACAACTTTGTAAAGACTTATATTAGGAAATAAAACAAAAACCCTTGCCCGTGGCTCAACGTACTATGTTTTGGGGAGGGAAACTCAAAGAAGGCAACGGACTTGCACCCTCTTTTCGCCCCCACCCCTTTCGCTACCCTAGGTTAAAACATTATCATTTCTGTTGGCTGCTATATATCCTATGAATACTTCTTGACTGCGAATATGTTTGTGTAATAAAAAGAGGGAGAAAGAAAGAGAGAGAGAGAGAGATAGAGAGAGATAGAGAGAGATAGAGAGGTGGGTTGGGAAAGGAGTGGGCGGGAGAGGGGAGGAAGGTGATGGTGCGTCTTTGACTTATCAAACATGTTGGTGTTGGTTTGCCTCTCTAATAATCACCAGTGGCGTATCCGGATACATTTAATGGGGGGGGGGGAGGAGGGGGCAGTATTGTTTTGATCATCCTACGATAAAGTCCTGCCTGTACAATCAAACTGATAAAACCTGACAATTAAACATATAATATTGCTAGCAGAATAACATAATTATCCTCCAAACAAGAATTCAACAAACAAACAAACAGAGACACGTATTCTAACGATGTAAACAGGTAGCTTAGCCCCTACATTCCTATATACCCCCAGTTCTTTCGCAACCGAAGATAAAAGTCTACTTCACTTCTCTTATCTACATGAAGAATTTCAACATAGATATTCAGAAAACATCTTCAACGTATCTCTTGGCATGGCTCGCTATCCGGTTACAAATCAAAAATATTTACCTTATTTACCAAGCCGTTTCTCTTTACCCAGTCACCTCTGCGCTCAGTTTGTTTACATGTCTATGAGGGTTTTAAATGTTGTTCGTCGATACTACATGATGTGTTTGCTTATAGAACGAGGTACGCCATCTACGTGCGGAGGAGCATTTATCGATACAGAGAAAGGGGGCTGTAGGGTGGGAGGGGGGGGGGGTGTTGAAGAGGCCGCCCAAACCCGAAATCTTACCGCTGTAATGGCTACTCGATCATCTTCTGACATCTAATTTCCTTTAAGGTTACCGCCAATATCACATAAAACATGAAAAATCGATTTATGCCACTAAAATGGCAGAAACTACCGAGAACAATAATACCTATAGCACATGGACTGTGCTTTCCTTTTAAAGAAATCCGCATAATCATGGTACCGTGAAATTCTAAAGAAGGAGCCATAATACAAAATTCCCTCGAAAAGAGTAAGTTTATTTTACTTGAAGTTTCACCTCACCTCATTATACAGACAAGATTTATCTTTAAGACATCACAATGGTTAGATGAATATATTTATAAATAAGTTATTACAAAATGTATTACATGGTGCAGCCTTTACATCGTCTCAACACTTTCATCATTGTGTGTAATTTGTTATTGTGTAAACATGTCCGCATATAGTTCACAATAATACAATCTTACCTTTTTCTTTTTAACTGTTCGTATGATTATCAAAAAAAAAAAACAGAAATTGGAAAAAAGGTCCAAATAATTCGGTATTCTTCGAACATGTATATCTACAGTTATTTGATAATAAACACGTTTGTTGTCACTTTATATCAATCATCATTGTCGAATATTCAATGGTTGACGTGAAGACGAAACCCAGAAGTATCTTAAATAAGTTAAAGTGATTACACTGTTGTACATAAAGCTAGAATTAGTTTTCTTTACCTCTTGTCATGAAATGATAGTGAGAATATTAATTAATCAGTCTCTACGAATCTTTACTGAGATTGATCGATACATTTTTGAGAAAATAAATCGTTATCATCAAGACAAAATCATATCGTCACAATCATGTCATGAAAAGAGGTAACACAAATTATTCCAACTTCATGAACAAATGTGTACGTCGATGCACCAAAGTTACAAATAATGTTAAGCACAGTTTCCGACTTATAGCCAATTAGAAGGGTGGTGTCGACTTTTTTCTAGTGGATACTACCACATCGTGCAACCGTCCAACTTTTAGCCAATCAGGAAGGACGTTTTAGCCGTCTCCTACAGAGAGGAATACTGATTGGTCAATACCACATCACAAGGCATCAAATATGGAAGCCCATTGAAATAGTTCCTCAAGCATGTTCGGAGGGTGGCGGGTTTATAAGTTATAAGAACCGGGATAAGAACACAGTTTAACAATGTTTTTCACAGGTTTGACCGCGTTCACACTGCTTGAATAATCCACTTAATCTACTTGATAAAAGCTAGGAGCATAAAGCAGTTCATGTCGCCGTCCGTCACACAACAAAACACGCCCTGATCTTCCGGGGCCACTTCACTTATGATGAGATCCGAAGTAAGAATCGAAGTGTTGAAACGCACGAAGACTCTCTTTTTCGGATCTGGAGAAATGAAAAAAGATTAAGAGAAGATCGGAAATTACGGGGACAAGTAGGCCATACTTTAAAAAGTATCAAGTAGGACGACTCCCATCAAGGACAATTAACCCCGGATTACGAAGCGGACCCCAAAACGGTTTTTCCATATTTAGCTGCACCGGGGAAATTTTGTCCGATGGGGTAGTGATCCGACTTAGCAGCCCCGGGTGAAAGACGCAGTACTGTTTTAAAATCATCATGTTAACTCAATCTTGTAGTATTATACGTAATGACTCACCATCAGTAACTACGACGCCGTATTTGGTGTCGTACCAGCTCGGCTGTCCACCGCCAGCTCGGATGTTCTGGCAAGACATGGTCATCTCCTGACCGACTCGGACACTCATCAGCTGCGTACTGGGCTGTAGTACGATAGGACGAACTGGTACAAACAAAACCGGAAAAGCCACAACATAACATTTTTATGAAAATATAACATTCACTCAAGAAAAGAGTAACCTTAATGGTTAAATATTTAAACAATGACAATTGAGATGCACATGCTAGAATAGTCCCAAGCCGTATCCGGTCAACTTGGACACTTTTATAAACCATTTTCCGTTTCGCTTGTTAAATGTGGTGTCCCTTTTGCTTGTGTTTATCCTATAGTAAACAAGAGATAATACCAACTAAAAACCCCTCTTAAGCGGGACTGCACTATTTGTAGATACTTGCGCCCTCTATACAACCAACAAAGTGTAAGTGGTACCCGTTGATCCCCATGCCCCCTTTTCTTATGTTAATTGAGAGCTGACTTTATGAGATAACCACCTGCCAGTGACCACGCAGGGAGGTCGAATCCCTCCTGGCCAAACCAGTACAGATAGGCATTACAAGATTGGAACTGGCAATTTCCTCTGTGTGAATTTATATCTACCGTTAGAATTTTTAGAAACGCGCTTCTTATGCGCAGAAGATGTGGACGTACGTTTTGTGCAGCCGCGCAAAGGTATAGGCAAAGGTTCCATCAGCGTCATTTTGACCATTACCAGAAGTGGGTTATTGATGTGCACAACAGCTTCGAGAAAATATAACGTCCCTCGACAAAAATATAACTCTCCTCGAGGATCTCAAACGTTATATTGCCCCTTTACTTTAGGTAGTCAATATCTGTATAATATTATTTACAGCACATGTTTTGTATGTTATTACCAAAGAATAAATTCAGTCAGTCACTCAATTGTGTCTGAAAGTAAAGTTTAAAAGAGAACGGGTTTCCTTGCATTATTTGAATACAAGGAAATTGCTTACGTTTAAATTTCACGGATTTGTAATTCATGCAAAGTTCTATACGGAATTTGATGTTGGCTGCAAAAGGGATACACAACCTTTAATGAATATTAATCGGATTTTTATGATACTAATTTTCACATGAACTTGATCTCATACAAGATCATTTATCGTATTGATTTAAAATTGCCTGTCATATCTCTACTTCAAGTTTATTCCAAGTTTATTCAATTATTTCCATAAATCTTAAACAATTTTAATATATTAAGTGCAAAACATAATACAATTAAAAACACAATTATAAATGTCACATGCAGATTACAACATCTTAATAACGATTACACAATATAGCCTGTATCATCATAATATGAATGAGAAACAAATATTCTTGTTTGTTTCAAACTAAAGAGAGAGTATGTGTGTGTGTGTGGGGGGGGGGGACCCATAAGAGAAGCGAAGCTTGTAATACTACAGGCCCCCTTAAATAATTTACTTACAAATATACAAGAAAGGGTGACTAATGAATAAGAGATAAAAGGAAAGAATGAGGACAGGAGTAAAATGAGGATGATGTGCAGTTAGAAGAAAAACTCCCTTTAAACTCAGTAGAGCGTCCGCCTCACAACCAGGAGGTCGTGGGTTCGAACCCCGGCCGCGTCATATCAAAAGACGTTAAAAGATGGGAGTTGTTGCTACCTTGTTTGGCGTTCAACAATAAGGGATAGAGCAACGTCGATCTGGCGCTGCTCAGTGCCTGCCGGGCTCACGATTAATTGGGCAAAAAGAATTTCCGTTTCGGTTTAATAAAATTTGGAGTGGACTATTAGGCTATTATTATTATATTTATTTTATTTTTTTATTTTTTTTTTTAAATTTATACTTCGTGTAAATGATCTTCCCATCTGTCCGTATTGTTTTGTTACTCTACAGTGCATGTATGATACGAAATTGATTTTGATGCAAAGGTGGAAGAGAAAACTTTTAAACTTATCAATCCCAATCCATCTTCGATTGGACAGGCGCTACGGTATAGGCCAACTACCTTCCTTTTGTATTTATAATACATCGTGAAGGCATACCCCCCCCCCCCCCCCCGTAATATTCTTCCGGGAATCCCACCGGCCTTCCCACAATGAATGAAAAAGAAACTCTTTTTTTTTCTCCCCATTTTTCGTTTCTCAATCGGAGAGGGCGTTTCGGTTCCCTACGGTTCTTACCTTTGATAGTGAGATGGTGCTCGACAGTAGTGACTGTATCCTTGCCTTTTCTTCCTACCGCCGCACACGCCCAGGACCCTTCATCCCCCTTCTCTATCTTATGGATAGTCAGATGAAGATGGCTGGTTTCTGGGTGAGTCTTTACCGAAATACGCTGATCACCCTGGTCATTCAAATGAATAAAGATGGAAAGTCATTGTGACTGCGATTTAGCCGATTGCATTACATCGTTAATGCCTCAATATGACTTTCGGCAAATTCAGAAGTTTTCTCGCAAAATGAACAAATTTGACGATACCCCTGACGTTTTTTTGTTAATTTAAAAAAAATCTAAAAATCGGGTGAGCTTATTTTCCTTGCTTTTGCCTATTTTCATGTCGAAAAATGAGATGTGACCCCTTCTTTCAAATTTATTTTAGCGATGCTCCAAATGCGAGTACGAGCTATTGCTGGTAGTGGTACCATTCAAATCAAAATTATCTAGAGTGGAGGGGATGCATCAGCCTTTTAGCGACTACTCCATACTCCATATTTTGCAACGAAAATAAATCATAATGTTACTAAAACTAAGGATTATTAGACGATGTCAGCTGAGAACGTGGAGTCGAAGGCTATAGTGAAATGAAGCATAAGATCGCAGAACTTGGAGAGATTAGTTACAATCATTGACTGTGGTCAATCAACCTGTCATTTGATAGATCACAATTAATGATTATATAACTGAAACTGATTTTCTATTTACCTCATTTGCTTCTTCCACATGTCTGCCATTTCTCCACCAGGACAGCTTTCCATCCCCTCGCATCACGTGACACACGAACGTCACTTCCTGTCCATGTTCCCGCGTCTCTCTCTGTCCCTCGTTGAGTCCCGGTGGGACAATAACCGTCAACCTCGCCCTTGTTTCTGCTCTCCCCGCTTGGTTGCTTGCCTCACACGAGAACTCGCCGACGTCCGCTTCCACCAGTTCGTATACGGTCAGGTACTCGCCGCTCGGGGAGATACCGTATTTGGACTCCGTGGAGTCGATTGGTTTCCGAGAGCTGTCGTACCACCGGTATTGTGGCTTCGGATAGCCATCGGCTACACATCGGAACATGGCCACCTGGCCCTCGATACCTTCAAAGTCTTGAGGCTGAGCTTGAAACTTTGGCTCCACTATCCAAAGAAATAGAAGAGATATCGAAAATGAAATTGGGAAAATATTAACGAGTATTTTAATTACATGGTGTCCATAAAAGTGGAGATGATTTCGTAAGTTTGAAAGTCAGTCTCTCCAAAAAAATATGATCTTTACATAAATAGGCGTAGATATGGTTAATCAAATCCTGAATGGACTCCAAGAAACGGTCAATACCTAAATAAATGGAAAACCTGTGTTTTTTTTTTGTGTAATTGCTTCGTAGGCATTTTGTTTGCTGCTGTCTTCATTTGTGGGTTGTTTTGTTTTATTTGTTAGCACATCTTTATATATACATCAGTTTACTGTTTGTTGTTGTTGGCAGATACGGATCAAGGGGAGAAAATAGGCCAAAGGGGGGGGGGGGGGAGGGGTGTTGAGTAAAAAATAAAATAAAATAGAGCTCCATACCCCCACCTGTTGAGCCCCAACAGAACAAAATATTGCTCACCACCCCCCCCCCCCCCCCCCGCTTATTCGGCCGGTCGAGGCGCCGCTAAATATTTTCTCATGAATTGGGCCCCTTCCCTCGCTGCCGGCTGGCTCCGCCCCTGGTTGTTAGGGGGGGGGGGGGGTCACGGGTGTTCTTTCCTTAAATTCAATATTGATTTTTGTTCCACTTACCTATCACCGTCATTTTCGCTGGCTCTGAGGCGACGTGTTCAGACGGGAGATTGGCCGCCAGTTCGCAGTGGTATTTGCCCGCATCTCCGGGCTGGACATCTGCGATATGCAGTTCGTATGAACCTCTCGTCTCGTTGACGCTGATAGATATCCGCGACTTTTCAGGCGATACGATAAATCTATCAATCGCCAACGCGTAGATCGCGTCTTTGACCCAGGTCAAGGTGACCGGATGCTGGGTCGCGAAGCAGGCGAAGGTCACCGATTTACCTGAAACGATAGTGGCGTCACTGGGGTCGACGTGAAGCTGCTGTTTGACTGTCATGGAGGACACAACAATAGGTTATTATTCAAAATGTACCAAAGTAAAGCTAGTCATATTAAACTTTTGATATACAAATTGAATTAAAATTAAAATTCCCAATAAACGAAGAAAAGGTTTACAATATCAAATTGCTCTCACCTCAGCATTCTTGTGGGGTTTTATGTGCGCTTCACATACCCCTTGTGAGGCATTTTTACTTTGTGGGGTATTTTTTCAGGACCCCACAGAGTAAAGTCTTTCAAATGACTGTATATTTGGTGTCCTATGCCCTGCGGGGCATTAGAAGTGGTACCCCATAAATGACTTTTTGTGAGCGTGTGCTAAAACTTGCACACTTTTTTATGGTAACATCGTAAGCACACCGCCGGGTTGTTATCGCCAGGTTGTACATACCCCACTAGTAGGGGACCACAAGGTATATCTGGAACGCACAGAAATACCCCACAATCAGGTGCCCCACAAAGGCCCTGATGTGAGAATGCGTGTGTTTGTATTTGTGTATGTGTGTGGGTGGATGGGGTGTGAGCGTGTGTGTCTGTGTACAGAAGTGGGAACAAGTAAAGTTTTCATGAACTTTTTACTCTGGACTATTGTGGCTATTGTAGCCTCGTTTAAATGATTTTGTTTATAATGTTTTAAATGGATTGTTTCTGTTTGTCTGTCGCTCCAATTTGGGGGTATTCTGAGGAGGCTAGGAACAGTGTGTGGTGGAAGTGTGGTGGTGGTGTGTGTGTCGCATGATTAGGAGGGGGGGGGGGGGTAGTAGTGTGTTTGGTTGGATGGGGTTATTTGTTTTATGTTACAACTGATTTCATTTTTGTTTTCATCAATTGTAAAATTCATGTAATGTAAATGTTTTGAATTCATGTCAAGGAAAAACAACGCTACTTTATTTCTAAAGATTAATTTGTATTGTTTGGAATCAATAAAAAAGAACTTTTGAAAAAAAGAAAAAAGGTGTACGTGTGTGTGCTTTAGGTAGGCCTTTGTCAATTTATTGGATCGCGGTTACAACACTTAAAGGGTAATTACACCCTGATATTAAATTTGTTTTAAACGTGAAAGTTTGAGAAAAATCGGACAACAAATAAGAAAGGTATGAATCTGTCAAAATCATGAAAATGATGAAATCTGTGAGACAAATTGGCAATGCAGTCAGAATGTTATGATGTCATCCTTTTACAACTTACCACTGATCTGAATGACAGAATGACCCAAAATCTCAATTTTTCTGAATGTTAATGAAATAGTGCACCTATCTTTTATGAGGATGCATGAAAGAACATATTTCCGTGATATATGATATCGAGATGGGCACGAAGTAAATATATCTTTTGATCAAAAGGGAATTTCATGACATTTCTTGCATTCAACAAAGGATAAAATGTGAGTCGATGACGTCATTAAGAGATCACATTGCCAATATGACTCACAGATTTGAAGTATTTTAAAAGTCCATAACTTTCTTATTTATTGTCCGATCATTTTCAAATTTTCACTGTATTTGTTCTTCCTATTTTTCGCCTAATATTAAAACAAACTTATTACCAGGTTGGAATTTCCCTTTGAATTCTCTAATGAGTATTGGTATAGAAATGCAATATATACTGACAGTGCACCAATCAGCATTACGTCCCCCTCCCTACTACATTCACATGGAAACATTTATATCATTCCAACACATTGGAGTATTTATAATAATTTTCTACAAACCTCATATAATACTAGTAGACCTATGTATATGAATAAAAACATATATATGGTAGCGAAAATGTTGCCTTTATAATCATATTACCGGTATGTAGATGTGCAATTTACAGTGTATTATGAATTCAGTAGGCTTTTAATGATGCATTATGAATAATAATAGACGGGAGCTTACCTAAAGATGGTGTATCCTGGGCCGATAGCAGCTGGAGCCTTAAAATAACCAGACAACATATCTCAATCACTGTATGTAGCGTCACCATCTTGCTATTTATACGCTGAGAACCATCAGACGAAATGTATAATGACCTTGATTAATTTGGGCATAAACCAATTAAATAAATACAAACTGAATCTTTCCTCGCAGATATGAAAAAGAATATGTCAGAATGCATTAAAACACACTTGCTGTTTCTTAAATGAAAGCGGGTTAAAAACGTTAGATAGATGAGTACGGTATGAAATTAATGGTTATAAACTGAACGATAAAGTGAAATTAATATACCAGGCAACCACATTTGGAGAGAGATTTATCGACTTTTAACACGTGGAAGTACATTTCACACGATCGCATCCTAGTCTAAAATCTGCAACTGAATTCGTTTATTTGAAATTTTGAACAAAAAACTTGGGATATATTCGTTTAAAGATCATTATCAATATGTTTAAGTTAATGATATTAAATAAATTTTGTTCCAAAGGAACACGCAAGTAGAGATAGAGCCATTTATGTAAGAGACTAAAGCACGTAACGACCCATGTGAATCGTAAAGGGTCTGAATAGAGACTAGGGAGTAGTCTGTGGCCACTTGTTGACACGTATGGTGTAATTGCATAGCGCAGATTGTATCATTGATCAGTGAATGCAAATATTATACTAACCTTTTCTGCACTCAAGTGCAGACGGCAGCTTGCGTGCTATATTTACATTTTTTTCTCGATAAAACGATGGCATAGAAATGGTAGGTTTATATACATTTTTAGCCCGTTCACTAATTCACGTTTTGATTTAATGACATATTTTTACCTAATCGATAACGCCAGTATAATACCAGGGAGGTGTTCTGATAATATTAATGATGTATGTAATAAACGTAGTCTACACAGTCACCTTTATTTATCATAACATTGCTAAATTTTGTATTTTTTTAAGCGTGTGAAAAATCAATTTGTCCCGATTTCTCTTTCTTGAAGATGTGACATTGCGTGACTCGGTAACATTGTTCAAGATTGGATGAAAAAATTGTGTGGTCCCAAAAAAGTAACATTCATATTCCTTGTACTGTACTAACCAGGCGCGTACGAAGGGGGGGGGGGGGGTCGAACCCTTCTCCTTTTTTATGTGTGTGTTTGGAGGGGAAAAAACCCTCAAATTTTGTTTAAATAAAACTATTAAAAAAAAAAATTGTTTTGGTGCTAAAGGGTGACCGAAAAAGGATGACCTAACCCCCCCCCCCCTCCCCCCTCCCCCCTCCCCCCTCCCCCCCCCCCCCCCCAACAGAACGAAATATCGGTCGGCCAAATTTTCGGGACAATAAAACAAAAACAAACATTTATCTTACCCCCCCCCCCCCCGGCTGGCTGAGTCGTTGCGAAATTTTTCATCAAATCGGCGCGATTTTCAAATCTTTAACCCCCCCCCCCCCTCGAAAAAAATCCTGCGCCTACGCCCCTGGTACTAGCCCTCCAACATGCAAAATATCCTGAAAAAAATTCTCAATCCACCGTTTTTCCATGAAAACACAACATAAGAAAGGCTTTTAAAAATATGTCAACGCTTGAATGTCTGGAATGGTATAAAGAGCCAATTCTTTGCTTTGTGACGATTTAAATTCACCTACAACTCTAATTAAATTGTAATAATATACTTGGGAGAATTAAGGAATCGATCAGATCAGTTTTTCCCAATTTTTTATCTTTAATAATCGTTTGTTTTCACTCAAACTTTCAGATTATCTTTAAATATACATCTAGCATTTAAGTCACTACCTTAGCATCATTTCTCTCTCATCTGAACAATGTTACCAAGTCCCTTTAAAGGGATAGTTGAGTTCTGTTGCAGAGGGCGCTACACAAAATACATTTTTGTGAGATAATGAAAAACTGAGTGTCAAATTTGAAAGAACATACAATTTAAATGACAAAGTCATCTTTGTTTGATCAAAATCGGTTCAGAGTCGGTTGAAATATCGACAACGATTTATGCCGATGTTGGCTTTTATTGTTGGAATTTTATTACGCACATCCAGCCGGCCCATGTATTGTTATTTTTAATCAAATAATTAATTAACGGTCACCGTATTTTTTTTTAAAGTGGAGCTGAACTGGTATGATCGTATTGGCTACATTATACACATTTTGGGGTCTAAAATTACCTTCATAGCAATTTTCAAAGTTCAAGGTTCAAGGTTCATTTTATTTCTTTCTTTCACAACATTTTTACATATAATAATAGAACAAAAAACAGCATAAGAAAAAACAATTTAAGTGCAATTTTAAGTCGATATATAATCCAAATGAAAGAAAGTGGAGACCTTAGAAAAGCTGGGCTTGTAAGAGCAAGGTCCCCAATCCATATCACATAATCCATCAATTTTTCACTTTTTAAAATGTTTCAAATTTATCAAAACTACGCATGATTAAATATGGGGGAAATATTTACAAAAGGGATAGCTTGAAATTTGAAAAGGAGAGGATGAAAATATATACAAAGGAATCGAGAGGAAAAAAGCAAACTGGAACGAGAAAAACAACAAAACAGAGAAAAACAGAGAAAGAAGAATGTTATATATATATATATATATATATAGGGGAAAATGGTATTTGGTGTAAAGAAAAAGAAAAATAGAAGAGAGGAGGGGGGGGGGGGGGGGGGGGGGGAGAGAGAGAGAATGTGAAATGCTGACATTTATATTGAATAATCAAACATAACAAAAACAAAAAGATAATGCACGTTATCAATAACAATTGACAAATTATTACCTAATATCATTTCTGGTGATATAATTTTTACGTTAATTGTCGACATAGTTACTCAATAAATGTAATTTCAATTTGCGTTTAAAAACAAAGACACTGACAGATCTAGTTACATTGATAGGAAGTGAGTTCCAAGATTTGGGACCAGTACAAGCCAGCGTCTTCAGAGCAAAAGCAGTTCTTACACGTGGAATATGAAGTGCAGTTGCCTGCCTTGTATTGAAGCTATGAATTTGATTGTTCTTTCGAAATATTTGTACTAACGCATTTGGGAGAGTACCATTTTCAAAACCATACATAATTGCGCCTAACTGTATAAAGTAAATGTCTTCAACCTTCAAAAGCTTATTACTGTAGAACAAAACATTAGTATGAGCACGAAAAGGTTCTAAAAGGGCACTAGAAACTATGGGCGTGTCCATGCTTCACTTTTTCTGGCCAGAATCAGGCATCTGTTACGCGTTTAGTTTAAAACACGGTTGCGTCCATGCTTACTTTTGTAGAATCACCGAAAAACGGCGATCACGATCGCCGATCGTAAACTCACAAAAAGATGCGTTTACAATTTGTAAACGCATTTAAATGGGGTCAACGCACTGACCTCTAGTGGGTCTACGTAGCATGCACAGTGAAGGTTTGCGAATCCAGCTGGAAGACCAATTAAGGCCACACACGGAGAATTGCCTCGATGAGCCAGAGAAGTAAGCATGAACAGTACACCGTGGAACTGCGATCACGATGAGCGTTTACGATGAGCGTTTCAGATCGCTCATTCTACCTTCAAAATCAAGCATGAACGCTCCCATAGATAAGAATAAGAACAATAACCATGAGCAATCTGAAGGCATTTGCGGTCTGAAAACAGAACTCAACTATCCCTTTAACACAAGGGGAGTCAGAAATAATTGGATGAATTTAGTTTAATGAAGGTAGGCCTACATACATTTATTAATTAACGTCATCACTTAAAGACGTTGTACCTTTCATAATAAACTTGTTTATTTTTAAGTGTCCATCAATGGATACGAAAATGGACATTTCGGTTCTAGGATAATGACCCCCTGGACAATCACCCCCGGGCCAATTACGAACGGTACAAGTACACTCCAAGGCTCCAAGGTAAATTACCCAACAATCACCCCCGAAAAATTACCCCTAAGGATAATTCCCCCTCCCCACCACACGTGTACATTTACCCCCTAAAAATTACCTACTAGGTCAAATACCTCCGGAGGAAAATTGTCCTGGGGGGGGGGGGTGTGTAATTTTCCGGGGAGGGGTGATTGTCTATAGGGGGTAATCGTCCTGCTACGAAACAATTCGCCTCCACCTACACACGCTCGCACACACTCGCGCCCACCCACGCTCACACACACACACACACACACACGCGCACACACACATTCACAACTTATCATAATGCATATATAATGTTCACACATACGAAGACACACAACGTTGGTATTTTTCTTCCGGGTTAAATTTCGAACATAAATCTTCCCCGCCCCCTCCCCCCCAAAAATACATAAATGTCATTCTCTTACTTTCCCCTTGTATCTTTCTTTCAATATTCCTCGGATATACGCTTAACTCCCACAAATTCCGCTAAAATACTTTTTTTTGTTGGTTAGAACACCGGCTTTTCTTCTTGCTGTCTCAACATTCAAATTTAATTGGTTGTAAAGTTTTGGCAAAAATGGAGGCGCCGAAAATGAGAATGACTTTACGCGTACACTACAATGAAAAAAAATGAGGCTGTACCCAACAGTCTTATACTAAGAATTACAGATGTAGTAATTTTTATGATATTCAATAATGAAATGGGAAACGAACTGGGCAGTGCTATCATTATGTTTCTCATGTCACTTTGGACGTCACTTGGCGGTTTGGGGTGGTTTACTGCAAACTAATGTGAACGAGGCCCAGGTCAGAAACATCCGCACTTCCGCATCATCACAATCTAATGAAAGTAGTTATTCAAAGCGTGAACAAAATGAAGGAAGGTATACACATGTACGCATTACAGACACACACATACACGTTGTATCATTGAGTTCCATCTAGAAAGGACAAATTTATTGCATTAAATGCATAATATCAAAGAATACAGAATGGTTTACATTGCTACCTCTACAAATTCGTAACGATTTAAAGATAGATTGGGAATATAAACAGGGCCCATACTTTAAAAACCTTACAAAGCTTACTTTTCCATTAACTAAAGTAGTAAGGACACAAAATTATCTCTACAAGTCTTCTTAATTTCTTCTTAGACCATGGAGCAGTGCCTTGTATATCTATCGTCTGGAAAAGGAGCTATATAATTCCATTTATTATTATCATTATCAATATATATTTTCGATTTTAGTTTTTATAGGAATATGGCCTGATTAACCTTTTGGCGTGTTACATTATCATTTGATGTGTATTATACAAGGAATATGTACTATATAAATGTACTTTAGCGAGGAAAAGCATTGGAAAAATCGAGCAAAGTGATGTTTGTATATGATAAAATAGCAATTCGTCTACTTTTGTATTAATTAATCATCAATTTCGTGCTTGCGTATTCTGATTCACGTGTACTAGGACAAAACTTAGTTAATTTTTACTCAAAATTCACTTCATGTTTATTACTTTAAGAATTATGTGCATCCTATCTGACCGTTTATTCATCTTTCAGACCGTCATATTAAGAGGGGGCAATCACCAAAATAAACCAACGATATATATAATCGTTAATATTTATAGGCATTCAACACCAGCGTCTTGAGCGTGCACGCAGGAGACGCCTGTACCGCTGTTTAAGTTATTCACGCAATCGAAGAGGGACGCTTCGCTTCCGTTGCATTCGAGATCTGTGAGGAGAATATTTCCGGTACCCTCGCCGTAGTAGGCTTCGCTCCGTGCAGCCCCCGTTTCTCCAAGGGAGAGCATCCGGCAGACGACCGAAGCATCTCTGTCGTCCCATAGATCATCGCATACGGTTCCCCATTCTCCGTTGACCAGCACCTCAACTCGCCCACTTGCTAAGCCACCTACAAGACGGACTGGAACTGTGTGTGAAACAAACAATGTAGGCATAGTTTAAAAAACAGAAGTACTGACCACCATTCTGAAGTTGGCTATATCTGCGGACCAGTTGGAGAAGCTCTGGAGGTCTCGTTATTTTATATAGAGAATAGAACTGCGGATGGTTATATGATGATGAATTATGATGAAGGTGGTAATTAAAATGTTAATAATAGTAGTAATAATAAAAACAAAGATAATAGAGTTAATTATTTCTGTAGTGCAGCTACTCTATGAATATAATGCGAATGATTAGAAAAAACAAACTCTATTTTTGGCTTTTGAAAACACTTGGATCTTTCAGAGGCTTTGATTGACAGATTGGGCTCTTCTGATAAAAGGAGAAGGTTGCTCCAAATCTTTGGAGTAGCACAACTTAAACAATTTATCTTTTTTTAACATGAGGCAGATTAGAAGCAGCTTGTCCTGTTAACTTATTTAGTTATATCCATGATATTTTTATAATTTAGGACTTGACCATTCACAGCTTTTCAAACAATCAATAGTATACAATTGTACCCTATTGTTGAACAATATAACTTTATCAGGGATCTAATGAGAGGACAAATCGAGAAATTTAACCCAAATCTCGCACAAGCATCGGTATGAGCAAACGTGAACATGAAAGTAAACCTTCACTTGCACTTTGGAATGTAAGGATGGTGCATTGTATGTCCGGAGATATCATCAAGCAATGTAATGTAATTTCCAATTAGTTACCAGGGGGTACTTCACAGCGGACGCCAGCATCTTCTGAATGACCACAGTTACTGACTCCAAGACCTCGATTCGAGCACTCGAAGATGGACGATTCATTTCCAGAGCAATTTACGTCATCAAGGACGATGATTCCAGTGCCTTCGCCGAATCCAGCCGATGATACAGCTTCAGAAGCACCTGCAAAACCGAGAGATCGACAGACCACGTTGGCATCGTCTATATCCCAAGCATCGTCACAGACAGTTCCCCATTCTCCGTTGAAGCTGACCTCTACACGACCTTCGGATGACAAGAGGCCGTCTACAAGTCGTATGGTTGCCTCTGTAATTGAAATAGATAAACAATGAAATATTAAAATGTTTACACCAAGAGCGTCTAATGAAAAAGATAATGAAATAATCTCTTCGAAATATGCAGGACAAACCGGCAAAGACAGTGGTTAAAGACTTGTGATTGAGAAAAAAAATCTATACAAGTTCAAATGTTTTAAAAGTCAATGTACATACAGCTAATAATTATTCATACCCTTTACAAGTTTTGCAGTTACTTAAATATGTACAAAATTGATTTGTACTAATTTTTTTTTCTTGAAAATATGACATATTAAAACTAACATCGGAAAGTACTCAACAAACGCCTTTATTAAGCCTGCCCACCTTTCATCAATTTACAAGGGGTATGAGTGTTGGTTGTTAACTGTTTAAAGATATATATATATATATATAATCTTATAAAATCATATAAAATCGAATATGTCATTTTAATAATACATTCCTACTAGTAAAACAAACAATCAACTTTAGATTGCTATAACTCATTAAAATAAAGGCCTTTGCATTTGCGTACTTTTAAGAAATCCTTAAAACAAATGCATTTGTTTGTAATAATGAAACAGATATAGATATGCTACGCAGCGAGCCCGAGCATCTTCGGAATGACCACAGTTATAGTCTCAAAGACCACGATTCGAGCACTCAGACCAGTCCAAAAAAATTCACGTCATGAAGGATAATGCATCCAGTGGTGGGCCGAATCCGGCAGACCAGACAGCTTTTTTTCTATATCTTTTACGCATCGTAATACAATTTTTACTGATACCGATATTTTTCTCTGATTGTAAGCTTTTCATAACTTACTCGGGTATGTCAATTCTAGAAATGTTCGTTTCACAAGTTGAAGATTTTATGATAGCAATCGTGACTAAGACTATTATATTCAAAAATTTATATAGAACCAGCGAATTTTCTCCCAGCCATCTGTTGCAGAAATAACCTATACCTTTATCAACGATATCTCATTTAAACATACCTTCAAGCACCTCACAACGAACTCCAGCATCTTCTGAATGACCACAGTTACTGACTCCAAGACCTCCATTCGAGCATTCAAAGAGACTCGATTCATTTCCAGAGCAATTGACGTCATCAAGGACGATGGTTCCAATACCTTGGCCGAATCCAGCCGATGAGACAGCTTCAAGAGCACCAGCAAAACCGAGAGATCGACAGACCACGCTGGCATCGTTTGTATCCCAAGCATCATCACAAACAGTTCCCCATTCTCCATTGTAGCTGACCTCTACACGGCCTTCAGAATCCGAGGTGCCTCCCACAAGACGTACCTCACCATCTGTAACAAGAAGAAATAATTTGTTCTTGTTGACTAATAATACTTTCAAAAAATATTATAATTCAGATAATTTTGGCCAATTACGATTCTTTTATCTTATTGATATATATTTACAATCATTAGTGTTAAGAACGTACACGTTAATGAAAAGTCCAGAACTACCTCTTATACCACAAGTTACTCCACTCAGATTTCGTGATATACTAAGAAATATTACTATCATGATAATCAACATGTCATATAGAACGCAGGAATTACATTCAAAGTTTACTTTATAAACAATGACTCATCTAAACGTACCTTCAAGCACTCGACAACGGACGCCAGCATCTTCTGAATGACCACAGTTACTGACTCCAAGACCTCCATTCGAGCATTCAAAGAGACTCAATTCATTTCCAGAGCAATTGACGTCATCAAGGACGATGGTTCCAATACCTTGGCCGAATCCAGCCGATGAGACAGCTTCAAGAGCACCAGCAAAACCGAGAGATCGACAGACCACGCTGGCATCGTTTGTATCCCAAGCATCATCACAAACAGTTCCCCATTCTCCATTGTAGCTGACCTCTACACGGCCTTCAGAATCCGAGGTGCCTCCCACAAGACGTACCTCACCATCTGTAACAAGAATAAATCATTTGTTCTTATATACTAATAGTAATTTCAAAAAATATTATAATTCAGATAATTTTGGCCAACTACGATTCTTTTATCTTATTGATATATATTCACAATCATTAGTGTTAAGAACGTACACGTTAATGAAAAGTCCAGAACTACCTCTTATACCACAAGTTACTCCACTCAGATTTCGTGATATACTAAGAAATATTACTATCATGATAATCAACATGTCATATAGAACGCAGGAATTACATTCAAAGTTTACTTTATAAACAATGACTCATCTAAACATACCTTCAAGCACTCGACAACGGACTCCAGCATCTTCTGAATGACCACAGTTACTGACTCCAAGACCTCCATTCGAGCATTCAAAGAGACTCGATTCATTTCCAGAGCAATTGACGTCATCTAGGACGATGGTTCCAATACCTTGGCCGAATCCAGCCGATGAGACAGCTTCAAGAGCACCAGCAAAACCGAGAGATCGACAGACCACGCTGGCATCGTTTGTATCCCAAGCATCATCACAAACAGTTCCCCATTCTCCATTGTAGCTGACCTCTACACGGCCTTCAGAATCCGAGGTGCCTCCCACAAGACGTACCTCACCATCTGTAACAAGAAGAAATAATTTGTTCTTGTTGACTAATAATACTTTCAAAAAATATTATAATTCAGATAATTTTGGCCAATTACGATTCTTTTATCTTATTGATATATATTCAAAATCATTAGTGTTAAGAACGTACACGTTAATGAAAAGTCCAGAACTACCTCTTATACCACAAGTTACTCCACTCAGATTTCGTGACATACTAAGAAATATTACTATCATGATAATCAACATGTCATATAGAACGCAGGAATTACATTCAAAGTTTACTTTATAAACAATGACTCATCTAAACGTACCTTCAAGCACTCGACAACGGACTCCAGCATCTTCTGAATGACCACAGTTACTGACTCCAAGACCTCCATTCGAGCATTCAAAGAGACTCAATTCATTTCCAGAGCAATTGACGTCATCAAGGACGATGGTTCCAATACCTTGGCCGAATCCAGCCGATGAGACAGCTTCAAGAGCACCAGCAAAACCGAGAGATCGACAGACCACGCTGGCATCGTTTGTATCCCAAGCATCATCACAAACAGTTCCCCATTCTCCATTGTAGCTGACCTCTACACGGCCTTCAGAATCTGAGGTGCCTCCCACAAGACGTACCTCACCATCTGTAACAAGAAGAAATAATTTGTTCTTGTTGACTAATAATACTTTCAAAAAATATTATAATTCAGATAATTTTGGCCAATTACGATTCTTTTATCTTATTGATATATATTCACAATCATTAGTGTTAAGAACGTACACGTTAATGAAAAGTCCAGAACTACCTCTTATACCACAAGTTACTCCACTCAGATTTCGTGATATACTAAGAAATATTACTATCATGATAATCAACATGTCATATAGAACGCAGGAATTACATTCAAAGTTTACTTTATAAACAATGACTCATCTAAACATACCTTCAAGCACTCGACAACGGACTCCAGCATCTTCTGAATGACCACAGTTACTGACTCCAAGAACTCCATTCGAGCATTCAAAGAGACTCGATTCATTTCCAGAGCAATTGACGTCATCAAGGACGATGGTTCCAATACCTTGGCCGAATCCAGCCGATGAGACAGCTTCAAGAGCACCAGCAAAACCGAGAGATCGACAGACCACGCTGGCATCGTTTGTATCCCAAGCATCATCGCAAACAGTTCCCCATTCTCCATTGTAGCTGACCTCTACACGGCCTTCAGAATCCGAGGTGCCTCCCACAAGACGTACCTCACCATCTGTAACAAGAATAAATCATTTGTTCTTATATACTAATAGTAATTTCAAAAAATATTATAATTCAGATAATTTTGGCCAATTACGATTCTTTTATCTTATTGATATATATTTACAATCATTAGTGTTAAGAACGTACACGTTAATGAAAAGTCCAGAACTACCTCTTATACCACAAGTTACTCCACTCAGATTTCGTGATATACTAAGAAATATTACTATCATGATAATCAACATGTCATATAGAACGCAGGAATTACATTCAAAGTTTACTTTATAAACAATGACTCATCTAAACATACCTTCAAGCACTCGACAACGGACTCCAGCATCTTCTGAATGACCACAGTTACTGACTCCAAGACCTCCATTCGAGCATTCAAAGAGACTCGATTCATTTCCAGAGCAATTGACGTCATCAAGGACGATGGTTCCAATACCTTGGCCGAATCCAGCCGATGAGACAGCTTCAAGAGCACCAGCAAAACCGAGAGATCGACAGACCACGCTGGCATCGTTTGTATCCCAAGCATCATCACAAACAGTTCCCCATTCTCCATTGTAGCTGACCTCTACACGGCCTTCAGAATCCGAGGTGCCTCCCACAAGACGTACCTCACCATCTGTAACAAGAAGAAATAATTTGTTCTTGTTGACTAATAATACTTTCAAAAAATATTATAATTCAGATAATTTTGGCCAATTACGATTCTTTTATCTTATTGATATATATTTACAATCATTAGTGTTAAGAACGTACACGTTAATGAAAAGTCCAGAACTACCTCTTATACCACAAGTTACTCCACTCAGATTTCGTGATATACTAAGAAATATTACTATCATGATAATCAACATGTCATATAGAACGCAGGAATTACATTCAAAGTTTACTTTATAAACAATGACTCATCTAAACGTACCTTCAAGCACTCGACAACGGACGCCAGCATCTTCTGAATGACCACAGTTACTGACTCCAAGACCTCCATTCGAGCATTCAAAGAGACTCAATTCATTTCCAGAGCAATTGACGTCATCAAGGACGATGGTTCCAATACCTTGGCCGAATCCAGCCGATGAGACAGCTTCAAGAGCACCAGCAAAACCGAGAGATCGACAGACCACGCTGGCATCGTTTGTATCCCAAGCATCATCACAAACAGTTCCCCATTCTCCATTGTAGCTGACCTCTACACGGCCTTCAGAATCCGAGGTGCCTCCCACAAGACGTACCTCACCATCTGTAACAAGAATAAATCATTTGTTCTTATATACTAATAGTAATTTCAAAAAATATTATAATTCAGATAATTTTGGCCAACTACGATTCTTTTATCTTATTGATATATATTCACAATCATTAGTGTTAAGAACGTACACGTTAATGAAAAGTCCAGAACTACCTCTTATACCACAAGTTACTCCACTCAGATTTCGTGATATACTAAGAAATATTACTATCATGATAATCAACATGTCATATAGAACGCAGGAATTACATTCAAAGTTTACTTTATAAACAATGACTCATCTAAACATACCTTCAAGCACTCGACAACGGACTCCAGCATCTTCTGAATGACCACAGTTACTGACTCCAAGACCTCCATTCGAGCATTCAAAGAGACTCGATTCATTTCCAGAGCAATTGACGTCATCTAGGACGATGGTTCCAATACCTTGGCCGAATCCAGCCGATGAGACAGCTTCAAGAGCACCAGCAAAACCGAGAGATCGACAGACCACGCTGGCATCGTTTGTATCCCAAGCATCATCACAAACAGTTCCCCATTCTCCATTGTAGCTGACCTCTACACGGCCTTCAGAATCCGAGGTGCCTCCCACAAGACGTACCTCACCATCTGTAACAAGAAGAAATAATTTGTTCTTGTTGACTAATAATACTTTCAAAAAATATTATAATTCAGATAATTTTGGCCAATTACGATTCTTTTATCTTATTGATATATATTCAAAATCATTAGTGTTAAGAACGTACACGTTAATGAAAAGTCCAGAACTACCTCTTATACCACAAGTTACTCCACTCAGATTTCGTGACATACTAAGAAATATTACTATCATGATAATCAACATGTCATATAGAACGCAGGAATTACATTCAAAGTTTACTTTATAAACAATGACTCATCTAAACGTACCTTCAAGCACTCGACAACGGACTCCAGCATCTTCTGAATGACCACAGTTACTGACTCCAAGACCTCCATTCGAGCATTCAAAGAGACTCAATTCATTTCCAGAGCAATTGACGTCATCAAGGACGATGGTTCCAATACCTTGGCCGAATCCAGCCGATGAGACAGCTTCAAGAGCACCAGCAAAACCGAGAGATCGACAGACCACGCTGGCATCGTTTGTATCCCAAGCATCATCACAAACAGTTCCCCATTCTCCATTGTAGCTGACCTCTACACGGCCTTCAGAATCTGAGGTGCCTCCCACAAGACGTACCTCACCATCTGTAACAAGAAGAAATAATTTGTTCTTGTTGACTAATAATACTTTCAAAAAATATTATAATTCAGATAATTTTGGCCAATTACGATTCTTTTATCTTATTGATATATATTCACAATCATTAGTGTTAAGAACGTACACGTTAATGAAAAGTCCAGAACTACCTCTTATACCACAAGTTACTCCACTCAGATTTCGTGATATACTAAGAAATATTACTATCATGATAATCAACATGTCATATAGAACGCAGGAATTACATTCAAAGTTTACTTTATAAACAATGACTCATCTAAACATACCTTCAAGCACTCGACAACGGACTCCAGCATCTTCTGAATGACCACAGTTACTGACTCCAAGAACTCCATTCGAGCATTCAAAGAGACTCGATTCATTTCCAGAGCAATTGACGTCATCAAGGACGATGGTTCCAATACCTTGGCCGAATCCAGCCGATGAGACAGCTTCAAGAGCACCAGCAAAACCGAGAGATCGACAGACCACGCTGGCATCGTTTGTATCCCAAGCATCATCGCAAACAGTTCCCCATTCTCCATTGTAGCTGACCTCTACACGGCCTTCAGAATCCGAGGTGCCTCCCACAAGACGTACCTCACCATCTGTAACAAGAATAAATCATTTGTTCTTATATACTAATAGTAATTTCAAAAAATATTATAATTCAGATAATTTTGGCCAATTACGATTCTTTTATCTTATTGATATATATTTACAATCATTAGTGTTAAGAACGTACACGTTAATGAAAAGTCCAGAACTACCTCTTATACCACAAGTTACTCCACTCAGATTTCGTGATATACTAAGAAATATTACTATCATGATAATCAACATGTCATATAGAACGCAGGAATTACATTCAAAGTTTACTTTATAAACAATGACTCATCTAAACATACCTTCAAGCACTCGACAACGGACTCCAGCATCTTCTGAATGACCACAGTTACTGACTCCAAGACCTCCATTCGAGCATTCAAAGAGACTCGATTCATTTCCAGAGCAATTGACGTCATCAAGGACGATGGTTCCAATACCTTGGCCGAATCCAGCCGATGAGACAGCTTCAAGAGCACCAGCAAAACCGAGAGATCGACAGACCACGCTGGCATCGTTTGTATCCCAAGCATCATCACAAACAGTTCCCCATTCTCCATTGTAGCTGACCTCTACACGGCCTTCAGAATCCGAGGTGCCTCCCACAAGACGTACCTCACCATCTGTAACAAGAAGAAATAATTTGTTCTTGTTGACTAATAATACTTTCAAAAAATATTATAATTCAGATAATTTTGGCCAATTACGATTCTTTTATCTTATTGATATATATTTACAATCATTAGTGTTAAGAACGTACACGTTAATGAAAAGTCCAGAACTACCTCTTATACCACAAGTTACTCCACTCAGATTTCGTGATATACTAAGAAATATTACTATCATGATAATCAACATGTCATATAGAACGCAGGAATTACATTCAAAGTTTACTTTATAAACAATGACTCATCTAAACGTACCTTCAAGCACTCGACAACGGACGCCAGCATCTTCTGAATGACCACAGTTACTGACTCCAAGACCTCCATTCGAGCATTCAAAGAGACTCCATTCATTTCCAGAGCAATTGACGTCATCAAGGACGATGGTTCCAATACCTTGGCCGAATCCAGCCGATGAGACAGCTTCAAGAGCACCAGCAAAACCGAGAGATCGACAGACCACGCTGGCATCGTTTGTATCCCAAGCATCATCACAAACAGTTCCCCATTCTCCATTGTAGCTGACCTCTACACGGCCTTCAGAATCCGAGGTGCCTCCCACAAGACGTACCTCACCATCTGTAACAAGAATAAATCATTTGTTCTTATATACTAATAGTAATTTCAAAAAATATTATAATTCAGATAATTTTGGCCAACTACGATTCTTTTATCTTATTGATATATATTCACAATCATTAGTGTTAAGAACGTACACGTTAATGAAAAGTCCAGAACTACCTCTTATACCACAAGTTACTCCACTCAGATTTCGTGATATACTAAGAAATATTACTATCATGATAATCAACATGTCATATAGAACGCAGGAATTACATTCAAAGTTTACTTTATAAACAATGACTCATCTAAACATACCTTCAAGCACTCGACAACGGACTCCAGCATCTTCTGAATGACCACAGTTACTGACTCCAAGACCTCCATTCGAGCATTCAAAGAGACTCAATTCATTTCCAGAGCAATTGACGTCATCAAGGACGATGGTTCCAATACCTTGGCCGAATCCAGCCGATGAGACAGCTTCAAGAGCACCAGCAAAACCGAGAGATCGACAGACCACGCTGGCATCGTTTGTATCCCAAGCATCATCACAAACAGTTCCCCATTCTCCATTGTAGCTGACCTCTACACGGCCTTCAGAATCCGAGGTGCCTCCCACAAGACGTACCTCACCATCTGTAACAAGAAGAAATCATTTGTTCTTATATACTAATAGTAATTTCAAAAAATATTATAATTCAGATAATTTTGGCCAATTACGATTCTTTTATCTTATTGATATATATTCACAATCATTAGTGTTAAGAACGTACACGTTAATGAAAAGTCCAGAACTACCTCTTATACCACAAGTTACTCCACTCAGATTTCGTGATATACTAAGAAATATTACTATCATGATAATCAACATGTCATATAGAACGCAGGAATTACATTCAAAGTTACTTTATAAACAATGACTCATCTAAACATACTTTCAAGCACTCGACAACGGACTCCAGCATCTTCTGAATGACCACAGTTACTGACTCCAAGACCTCCATTCGAGCATTCAAAGAGACTCAATTCATTTCCAGAGCAATTGACGTCATCAAGGACGATGGTTCCAATACCTTGGCCGAATCCAGCCGATGAGACAGCTTCAAGAGCACCAGCAAAACCGAGAGATCGACAGACCACGCTGGCATCGTTTGTATCCCAAGCATCATCACAAACAGTTCCCCATTCTCCATTGTAGCTGACCTCTACACGGCCTTCAGAATCTGAGGTGCCTCCCACAAGACGTACCTCACCATCTGTAACAAGAAGAAATAATTTGTTCTTGTTGACTAATAATACTTTCAAAAAATATTATAATTCAGATAATTTTGGCCAATTACGATTCTTTTATCTTATTGATATATATTCACAACCATTAGTGTTAAGAACGTACACGTTAATGAAAAGTCCAGAACTACCTCTTATACCACAAGTTACTCCACTCAGATTTCGTGATATACTAAGAAATATTACTATCATGATAATCAACATGTCATATAGAACGCAGGAATTACATTCAAAGTTTACTTTATAAACAATGACTCATCTAAACGTACCTTCAAGCACTCGACAACGGACTCCAGCATCTTCTGAATGACCACAGTTACTGACTCCAAGACCTCCATTCGAGCATTCAAAGAGACTCAATTCATTTCCAGAGCAATTGACGTCATCAAGGACGATGGTTCCAATACCTTGGCCGAATCCAGCCGATGAGACAGCTTCAAGAGCACCAGCAAAACCGAGAGATCGACAGACCACGCTGGCATCGTTTGTATCCCAAGCATCATCACAAACAGTTCCCCATTCTCCATTGTAGCTGACCTCTACACGGCCTTCAGAATCCGAGGTGCCTCCCACAAGACGTACCTCACCATCTGTAACAAGAATAAATCATTTGTTCTTATATACTAATAGTAATTTCAAAAAATATTATAATTCAGATAATTTTGGCCAATTACGATTCTTTTATCTTATTGATATATATTCACAATCATTAGTGTTAAGAACGTACACGTTAATGAAAAGTCCAGAACTACCTCTTATACTACAAGTTACTCCACTCAGATTTCGTGATATACTAAGAAATATTACTATCATGATAATCAACATGTCATATAGAACGCAGGAATTACATTCAAAGTTTACTTTATAAACAATGACTCATCTAAACATACTTTCAAGCACTCGACAACGGACTCCAGCATCTTCTGAATGACCACAGTTACTGACTCCAAGACCTCGATTCGAGCATTCAAAGAGAGCCGATTCTTCTCCAGAACAATTGACGTCATCAAGGACGATGGTTCCAATACCTTGGCCGAATCCAGCCGATGAGACAGCTTCAAGAGCACCAGCAAAACCGAGAGATCGACAGACCACGCTGGCATCGTTTGTATCCCAAGCATCATCACAAACAGTTCCCCATTCTCCATTGTAGCTGACCTCTACACGGCCTTCAGAATCCGAGGTGCCTCCCACAAGACGTACCTCACCATCTGTAACAAGAAGAAATAATTTGTTCTTGTTGACTAATAATACTTTCAAAAAATATTATAATTCAGATAATTTTGGCCAATTACGATTCTTTTATCTTATTGATATATATTCAAAATCATTAGTGTTAAGAACGTACACGTTAATGAAAAGTCCAGAACTACCTCTTATACCACAAGTTACTCCACTCAGATTTCGTGATATACTAAGAAATATTACTATCATGATAATCAACATGTCATATAGAACGCAGGAATTACATTCAAAGTTTACTTTATAAACAATGACTCATCTAAACGTACCTTCAAGCACTCGACAACGGACTCCAGCATCTTCTGAATGACCACAGTTACTGACTCCAAGACCTCCATTCGAGCATTCAAAGAGACTCAATTCATTTCCAGAGCAATTGACGTCATCAAGGACGATGGTTCCAATACCTTGGCCGAATCCAGCCGATGAGACAGCTTCAAGAGCACCAGCAAAACCGAGAGATCGACAGACCACGCTGGCATCGTTTGTATCCCAAGCATCATCACAAACAGTTCCCCATTCTCCATTGTAGCTGACCTCTACACGGCCTTCAGAATCCGAGGTGCCTCCCACAAGACGTACCTCACCATCTGTAACAAGAAGAAATAATTTGTTCTTGTTGACTAATAATACTTTCAAAAAATATTATAATTCAGATAATTTTGGCCAATTACGATTCTTTTATCTTATTGATATATATTTACAATCATTAGTGTTAAGAACGTACACGTTAATGAAAAGTCCAGAACTACCTCTTATACCACAAGTTACTCCACTCAGATTTCGTGATATACTAAGAAATATTACTATCATGATAATCAACATGTCATATAGAACGCAGGAATTACATTCAAAGTTTACTTTATAAACAATGACTCATCTAAACATACCTTCAAGCACTCGACAACGGACTCCAGCATCTTCTGAATGACCACAGTTACTGACTCCAAGACCTCCATTCGAGCATTCAAAGAGACTCGATTCATTTCCAGAGCAATTGACGTCATCAAGGACGATGGTTCCAATACCTTGGCAGAATCCAGCCGATGAGACAGCTTCAAGAGCACCAGCAAAACCGAGAGATCGACAGACCACGCTGGCATCGTTTGTATCCCAAGCATCATCACAAACAGTTCCCCATTCTCCATTGTAGCTGACCTCTACACGGCCTTCAGAATCCGAGGTGCCTCCCACAAGACGTACCTCACCATCTGTAACAAGAATAAATCATTTGTTCTTATATACTAATAGTAATTTCAAAAAATATTATAATTCAGATAATTTTGGCCAACTACGATTCTTTTATCTTATTGATATATATTCACAATCATTAGTGTTAAGAACGTACACGTTAATGAAAAGTCCAGAACTACCTCTTATACCACAAGTTACTCCACTCAGATTTCGTGATATACTAAGAAATATTACTATCATGATAATCAACATGTCATATAGAACGCAGGAATTACATTCAAAGTTTACTTTATAAACAATGACTCATCTAAACATACCTTCAAGCACTCGACAACGGACTCCAGCATCTTCTGAATGACCACAGTTACTGACTCCAAGACCTCCATTCGAGCATTCAAAGAGACTCGATTCATTTCCAGAGCAATTGACGTCATCAAGGACGATGGTTCCAATACCTTGGCCGAATCCAGCCGATGAGACAGCTTCAAGAGCACCAGCAAAACCGAGAGATCGACAGACCACGCTGGCATCGTTTGTATCCCAAGCATCATCACAAACAGTTCCCCATTCTCCATTGTAGCTGACCTCTACACGGCCTTCAGAATCCGAGGTGCCTCCCACAAGACGTACCTCACCATCTGTAACAAGAAGAAATAATTTGTTCTTGTTGACTAATAATACTTTCAAAAAATATTATAATTCAGATAATTTTGGCCAATTACGATTCTTTTATCTTATTGATATATTTACAACCATTAGTGTTAAGAACGTACAAGTTAATGAAAAGTCCAGAACTACCTCTTATACCACAAGTTACTCCACTCAGATTTCGTGATATACTAAGAAATATTACTATCATGATAATCAACATGTCATATAGAACGCAGGAATTACATTCAAAGTTTACTTTATAAACAATGACTCATCTAAACGTACCTTCAAGCACTCGACAACGGACTCCAGCATCTTCTGAATGACCACAGTTACTGACTCCAAGACCTCCATTCGAGCATTCAAAGAGACTCAATTCATTTCCAGAGCAATTGACGTCATCAAGGACGATGGTTCCAATACCTTGGCCGAATCCAGCCGATGAGACAGCTTCAAGAGCACCAGCAAAACCGAGAGATCGACAGACCACGCTGGCATCGTTTGTATCCCAAGCATCATCACAAACAGTTCCCCATTCTCCATTGTAGCTGACCTCTACACGGCCTTCAGAATCCGAGGTGCCTCCCACAAGACGTACCTCACCATCTGTAACAAGAATAAATCATTTGTTCTTATATACTAATAGTAATTTCAAAAAATATTATAATTCAGATAATTTTGGCCAATTACGATTCTTTTATCTTATTGATATATATTTACAATCATTAGTGTTAAGAACGTACACGTTAATGAAAAGTCCAGAACTACCTCTTATACCACAAGTTACTCCACTCAGATTTCGTGATATACTAAGAAATATTACTATCATGATAATCAACATGTCATATAGAACGCAGGAATTACATTCAAAGTTTACTTTATAAACAATGACTCATCTAAACATACCTTCAAGCACTCGACAACGGACTCCAGCATCTTCTGAATGACCACAGTTACTGACTCCAAGACCTCCATTCGAGCATTCAAAGAGACTCGATTCATTTCCAGAGCAATTGACGTCATCAAGGACGATGGTTCCAATACCTTGGCCGAATCCAGCCGATGAGACAGCTTCAAGAGCACCAGCAAAACCGAGAGATCGACAGACCACGCTGGCATCGTTTGTATCCCAAGCATCATCACAAACAGTTCCCCATTCTCCATTGTAGCTGACCTCTACACGGCCTTCAGAATCCGAGGTGCCTCCCACAAGACGTACCTCACCATCTGTAACAAGAAGAAATAATTTGTTCTTGTTGACTAATAATACTTTCAAAAAATATTATAATTCAGATAATTTTGGCCAATTACGATTCTTTTATCTTATTGATATATATTTACAATCATTAGTGTTAAGAACGTACACGTTAATGAAAAGTCCAGAACTACCTCTTATACCACAAGTTACTCCACTCAGATTTCGTGATATACTAAGAAATATTACTATCATGATAATCAACATGTCATATAGAACGCAGGAATTACATTCAAAGTTTACTTTATAAACAATGACTCATCTAAACGTACCTTCAAGCACTCGACAACGGACTCCAGCATCTTCTGAATGACCACAGTTACTGACTCCAAGACCTCCATTCGAGCATTCAAAGAGACTCAATTCATTTCCAGAGCAATTGACGTCATCAAGGACGATGGTTCCAATACCTTGGCCGAATCCAGCCGATGAGACAGCTTCAAGAGCACCAGCAAAACCGAGAGATCGACAGACCACGCTGGCATCGTTTGTATCCCAAGCATCATCACAAACAGTTCCCCATTCTCCATTGTAGCTGACCTCTACACGGCCTTCAGAATCCGAGGTGCCTCCCACAAGACGTACCTCACCATCTGTAACAAGAATAAATCATTTGTTCTTATATACTAATAGTAATTTCAAAAAATATTATAATTCAGATAATTTTGGCCAACTACGATTCTTTTATCTTATTGATATATATTCACAATCATTAGTGTTAAGAACGTACACGTTAATGAAAAGTCCAGAACTACCTCTTATACCACAAGTTACTCCACTCAGATTTCGTGATATACTAAGAAATATTACTATCATGATAATCAACATGTCATATAGAACGCAGGAATTACATTCAAAGTTTACTTTATAAACAATGACTCATCTAAACATACCTTCAAGCACTCGACAACGGACTCCAGCATCTTCTGAATGACCACAGTTACTGACTCCAAGACCTCCATTCGAGCATTCAAAGAGACTCGATTCATTTCCAGAGCAATTGACGTCATCAAGGACGATGGTTCCAATACCTTGGCCGAATCCAGCCGATGAGACAGCTTCAAGAGCACCAGCAAAACCGAGAGATCGACAGACCACGCTGGCATCGTTTGTATCCCAAGCATCATCACAAACAGTTCCCCATTCTCCATTGTAGCTGACCTCTACACGGCCTTCAGAATCCGAGGTGCCTCCCACAAGACGTACCTCACCATCTGTAACAAGAAGAAATAATTTGTTCTTGTTGACTAATAATACTTTCAAAAAATATTATAATTCAGATAATTTTGGCCAATTACGATTCTTTTATCTTATTGATATATATTTACAACCATTAGTGTTAAGAACGTACACGTTAATGAAAAGTCCAGAACTACCTCTTATACCACAAGTTACTCCACTCAGATTTCGTGATATACTAAGAAATATTACTATCATGATAATCAACATGTCATATAGAACGCAGGAATTACATTCAAAGTTTACTTTATAAACAATGACTCATCTAAACGTACCTTCAAGCACTCGACAACGGACTCCAGCATCTTCTGAATGACCACAGTTACTGACTCCAAGACCTCCATTCGAGCATTCAAAGAGACTCAATTCATTTCCAGAGCAATTGACGTCATCAAGGACGATGGTTCCAATACCTTGGCCGAATCCAGCCGATGAGACAGCTTCAAGAGCACCAGCAAAACCGAGAGATCGACAGACCACGCTGGCATCGTTTGTATCCCAAGCATCATCACAAACAGTTCCCCATTCTCCATTGTAGCTGACCTCTACACGGCCTTCAGAATCCGAGGTGCCTCCCACAAGACGTACCTCACCATCTGTAACAAGAATAAATCATTTGTTCTTATATACTAATAGTAATTTCAAAAAATATTATAATTCAGATAATTTTGGCCAATTACGATTCTTTTATCTTATTGATATATATTTACAACCATTAGTGTTAAGAACGTACACGTTAATGAAAAGTCCAGAACTACCTCTTATACCACAAGTTACTCCACTCAGATTTCGTGATATACTAAGAAATATTACTATCATGATAATCAACATGTCATATAGAACGCAGGAATTACATTCAAAGTTTACTTTATAAACAATGACTCATCTAAACATACCTTCAAGCACTCGACAACGGACTCCAGCATCTTCTGAATGACCACAGTTACTGACTCCAAGACCTCCATTCGAGCATTCAAAGAGACTCGATTCATTTCCAGAGCAATTGACGTCATCAAGGACGATGGTTCCAATACCTTGGCCGAATCCAGCCGATGAGACAGCTTCAAGAGCACCAGCAAAACCGAGAGATCGACAGACCACGCTGGCATCGTTTGTATCCCAAGCATCATCACAAACAGTTCCCCATTCTCCATTGTAGCTGACCTCTACACGGCCTTCAGAATCCGAGGTGCCTCCCACAAGACGTACCTCACCATCTGTAACAAGAAGAAATAATTTGTTCTTGTTGACTAATAATACTTTCAAAAAATATTATAATTCAGATAATTTTGGCCAATTACGATTCTTTTATCTTATTGATATATATTTACAATCATTAGTGTTAAGAACGTACACGTTAATGAAAAGTCCAGAACTACCTCTTATACCACAAGTTACTCCACTCAGATTTCGTGATATACTAAGAAATATTACTATCATGATAATCAACATGTCATATAGAACGCAGGAATTACATTCAAAGTTTACTTTATAAACAATGACTCATCTAAACGTACCTTCAAGCACTCGACAACGGACTCCAGCATCTTCTGAATGACCACAGTTACTGACTCCAAGACCTCCATTCGAGCATTCAAAGAGACTCAATTCATTTCCAGAGCAATTGACGTCATCAAGGACGATGGTTCCAATACCTTGGCCGAATCCAGCCGATGAGACAGCTTCAAGAGCACCAGCAAAACCGAGAGATCGACAGACCACGCTGGCATCGTTTGTATCCCAAGCATCATCACAAACAGTTCCCCATTCTCCATTGTAGCTGACCTCTACACGGCCTTCAGAATCCGAGGTGCCTCCCACAAGACGTACCTCACCATCTGTAACAAGAATAAATCATTTGTTCTTATATACTAATAGTAATTTCAAAAAATATTATAATTCAGATAATTTTGGCCAACTACGATTCTTTTATCTTATTGATATATATTCACAATCATTAGTGTTAAGAACGTACACGTTAATGAAAAGTCCAGAACTACCTCTTATACCACAAGTTACTCCACTCAGATTTCGTGATATACTAAGAAATATTACTATCATGATAATCAACATGTCATATAGAACGCAGGAATTACATTCAAAGTTTACTTTATAAACAATGACTCATCTAAACATACCTTCAAGCACTCGACAACGGACTCCAGCATCTTCTGAATGACCACAGTTACTGACTCCAAGACCTCCATTCGAGCATTCAAAGAGACTCGATTCATTTCCAGAGCAATTGACGTCATCAAGGACGATGGTTCCAATACCTTGGCCGAATCCAGCCGATGAGACAGCTTCAAGAGCACCAGCAAAACCGAGAGATCGACAGACCACGCTGGCATCGTTTGTATCCCAAGCATCATCACAAACAGTTCCCCATTCTCCATTGTAGCTGACCTCTACACGGCCTTCAGAATCCGAGGTGCCTCCCACAAGACGTACCTCACCATCTGTAACAAGAATAAATCATTTGTTCTTATATACTAATAGTAATTTCAAAAAATATTATAATTCAGATAATTTTGGCCAACTACGATTCTTTTATCTTATTGATATATATTCACAACCATTAGTGTTAAGAACGTACACGTTAATGAAAAGTCCAGAACTACCTCTTATACCACAAGTTACTCCACTCAGATTTCGTGATATACTAAGAAATATTACTATCATGATAATCAACATGTCATATAGAACGCAGGAATTACATTCAAAGTTTACTTTATAAACAATGACTCATCTAAACATACCTTCAAGCACTCGACAACGGACTCCAGCATCTTCTGAATGACCACAGTTACTGACTCCAAGACCTCCATTCGAGCATTCAAAGAGACTCGATTCATTTCCAGAGCAATTGACGTCATCAAGGACGATGGTTCCAATACCTTGGCCGAATCCAGCCGATGAGACAGCTTCAAGAGCACCAGCAAAACCGAGAGATCGACAGACCACGCTGGCATCGTTTGTATCCCAAGCATCATCACAAACAGTTCCCCATTCTCCATTGTAGCTGACCTCTACACGGCCTTCAGAATCCGAGGTGCCTCCCACAAGACGTGCCTCACCATCTGTAACAAGAAGAAATAATTTGTTCTTGTTGACTAATAATACTTTCAAAAAATATTATAATTCAGATAATTTTGGCCAATTACGATTCTTTTATCTTATTGATATATATTTACAATCATTAGTGTTAAGAACGTACACGTTAATGAAAAGTCCAGAACTACCTCTTATACCACAAGTTACTCCACTCAGATTTCGTGATATACTAAGAAATATTACTATCATGATAGTCAACATGTCATATAGAACGCAGGAATTACATTCAAAGTTTACTTTATAAACAATGACTCATCTAAACGTACCTTCAAGCACTCGACAACGGACTCCAGCATCTTCTGAATGACCACAGTTACTGACTCCAAGACCTCCATTCGAGCATTCAAAGAGACTCAATTCATTTCCAGAGCAATTGACGTCATCAAGGACGATGGTTCCAATACCTTGGCCGAATCCAGCCGATGAGACAGCTTCAAGAGCACCAGCAAAACCGAGAGATCGACAGACCACGCTGGCATCGTTTGTATCCCAAGCATCATCACAAACAGTTCCCCATTCTCCATTGTAGCTGACCTCTACACGGCCTTCAGAATCCGAGGTGCCTCCCACAAGACGTACCTCACCATCTGTAACAAGAAGAAATCATTTGTTCTTATATACTAATAGTAATTTCAAAAAATATTATAATTCAGATAATTTTGGCCAACTACGATTCTTTTATCTTATTGATATATATTCACAATCATTAGTGTTAAGAACGTACACGTTAATGAAAAGTCCAGAACTACCTCTTATACCACAAGTTACTCCACTCAGATTTCGTGATATACTAAGAAATATTACTATCATGATAATCAACATGTCATATAGAACGCAGGAATTACATTCAAAGTTTACTTTATAAACAATGACTCATCTAAACATACCTTCAAGCACTCGACAACGGACTCCAGCATCTTCTGAATGACCACAGTTACTGACTCCAAGACCTCCATTCGAGCATTCAAAGAGACTCGATTCATTTCCAGAGCAATTGACGTCATCAAGGACGATGGTTCCAATACCTTGGCCGAATCCAGCCGATGAGACAGCTTCAAGAGCACCAGCAAAACCGAGAGATCGACAGACCACGCTGGCATCGTTTGTATCCCAAGCATCATCACAAACAGTTCCCCATTCTCCATTGTAGCTGACCTCTACACGGCCTTCAGAATCCGAGGTGCCTCCCACAAGACGTACCTCACCATCTGTAACAAGAAGAAATAATTTGTTCTTGTTGACTAATAATACTTTCAAAAAATATTATAATTCAGATAATTTTGGCCAATTACGATTCTTTTATCTTATTGATATATATTTACAATCATTAGTGTTAAGAACGTACACGTTAATGAAAAGTCCAGAACTACCTCTTATACCACAAGTTACTCCACTCAGATTTCGTGATATACTAAGAAATATTACTATCATGATAATCAACATGTCATATAGAACGCAGGAATTACATTCAAAGTTTACTTTATAAACAATGACTCATCTAAACGTACCTTCAAGCACTCGACAACGGACTCCAGCATCTTCTGAATGACCACAGTTACTGACTCCAAGACCTCGATTCGAGCATTCAAAGAGAGCCGATTCTTCTCCAGAACAATTGACGTCATCAAGGACGATGGTTCCAATACCTTGGCCGAATCCAGCCGATGAGACAGCTTCAAGAGCACCAGCAAAACCGAGAGATCGACAGACCACGCTGGCATCGTTTGTATCCCAAGCATCATCACAAACAGTTCCCCATTCTCCATTGTAGCTGACCTCTACACGGCCTTCAGAATCCGAGGTGCCTCCCACAAGACGTACCTCACCATCTGTAACAAGAAGAAATCATTTGTTCTTATATACTAATAGTAATTTCAAAAATATTATAATTCAGATAATTTTGGCCAACTACGATTCTTTTATCTTATTGATATATATTCACAATCATTAGTGTTAAGAACGTACACGTTAATGAAAAGTCCAGAACTACCTCTTATACCACAAGTTACTCCACTCAGATTTCGTGATATACTAAGAAATATTACTATCATGATAATCAACATGTCATATAGAACGCAGGAATTACATTCAAAGTTTACTTTATAAACAATGACTCATCTAAACATACCTTCAAGCACTCGACAACGGACTCCAGCATCTTCTGAATGACCACAGTTACTGACTCCAAGACCTCCATTCGAGCATTCAAAGAGACTCAATTCATTTCCAGAGCAATTGACGTCATCAAGGACGATGGTTCCAATACCTTGGCCGAATCCAGCCGATGAGACAGCTTCAAGAGCACCAGCAAAACCGAGAGATCGACAGACCACGCTGGCATCGTTTGTATCCCAAGCATCATCACAAACAGTTCCCCATTCTCCATTGTAGCTGACCTCTACACGGCCTTCAGAATCCGAGGTGCCTCCCACAAGACGTACCTCACCATCTGTAACAAGAAGAAATCATTTGTTCTTATATACTAATAGTAATTTCAAAAAATATTATAATTCAGATAATTTTGGCCAACTACGATTCTTTTATCTTATTGATATATATTCACAATCATTAGTGTTAAGAACGTACACGTTAATGAAAAGTCCAGAACTACCTCTTATACCACAAGTTACTCCACTCAGATTTCGTGATATACTAAGAAATATTACTATCATGATAATCAACATGTCATATAGAACGCAGGAATTACATTCAAAGTTTACTTTATAAACAATGACTCATCTAAACATACCTTCAAGCACTCGACAACGGACTCCAGCATCTTCTGAATGACCACAGTTACTGACTCCAAGACCTCCATTCGAGCATTCAAAGAGACTCGATTCATTTCCAGAGCAATTGACGTCATCAAGGACGATGGTTCCAATACCTTGGCCGAATCCAGCCGATGAGACAGCTTCAAGAGCACCAGCAAAACCGAGAGATCGACAGACCACGCTGGCATCGTTTGTATCCCAAGCATCATCACAAACAGTTCCCCATTCTCCATTGTAGCTGACCTCTACACGGCCTTCAGAATCCGAGGTGCCTCCCACAAGACGTACCTCACCATCTGTAACAAGAATAAATCATTTGTTCTTATATACTAATAGTAATTTCAAAAAATATTATAATTCAGATAATTTTGGCCAACTACGATTCTTTTATCTTATTGATATATATTCACAATCATTAGTGTTAAGAACGTACACGTTAATGAAAAGTCCAGAACTACCTCTTATACCACAAGTTACTCCACTCAGATTTCGTGATATACTAAGAAATATTACTATCATGATAATCAACATGTCATATAGAACGCAGGAATTACATTCAAAGTTTACTTTATAAACAATGACTCATCTAAACATACCTTCAAGCACTCGACAACGGACTCCAGCATCTTCTGAATGACCACAGTTACTGACTCCAAGACCTCCATTCGAGCATTCAAAGAGACTCGATTCATTTCCAGAGCAATTGACGTCATCAAGGACGATGGTTCCAATACCTTGGCCGAATCCAGCCGATGAGACAGCTTCAAGAGCACCAGCAAAACCGAGAGATCGACAGACCACGCTGGCATCGTTTGTATCCCAAGCATCATCACAAACAGTTCCCCATTCTCCATTGTAGGTGACCTCTACACGGCCTTCAGAATCCGAGGTGCCTCCCACAAGACGTACCTCACCATCTGTAACAAGAAGAAATAATTTGTTCTTGTTGACTAAGAAAAGCACTTCGAGATGATTTTTGCTGATTTATTTACAAAGGAACTAGGGAAGACTTTTTCGTTGATTATGCCTGAATTAAAAAAAGGATAATTATAAAAAAGATAAAATTAATGTTTAAAAAACCCCGTTAAAATAGGATCATTATGATTATTCAATATAACACACACATATATATATATATATATATATATGTATTGTTTAATATATAAAAGTGCGAGAATATTATATATATACTGTATATATATATATATATATATATATATATATATATATATTACATGTACATAAAGCATTCCATTATTTTTTTGAATATGGAAATGTATGATTATAAACTTAGCCCTTGCGCACAAGGCGTCATTTTCATTGCTTTGGACCCTGCGCTTTAATAAAGGATTTTCCGGCTAAATTCGCGAGTTTGTCATTTAAATTAATATGTCTTGCGTTCAAATTCGACGGTTTTAGTGCTGTCAGATATATCTTGGGTTTATATTCCTTTTTCTAGCTTTCAAATCTATGAAGTTTTTGTTAGAATCTATGTATGTTTCATTCAAATTAATGAATAATGTGCTTCTTCCGCTATTTGGTCATTCGATTTGGCGCAACACGATTTCTGACATCGCAAAGGTGTACTTTTAGCATTCGAAGTCTTTTGTAGCATTCAAATTAGCACTTTGTGCACTTAAATGGATGGTCAATATACATATCTCGTTCATTACACACCTTTATAGCTCATTCTTTTTCTTTCAAGATTTTTTTTTCATGTGTATTTCATCATATTTTATTTTCTTGCATTTATACACTTCATAAACTTTTAGATTTATCTGATATTCATCATCCTTTAAATTTGATTGTTAAGAAGAAGAAAAACGACTTACATCTACGAACTTGATGGTCTTTTGTAAATTTTTATGTAAGGAAGTTGTTTGTCTTGTGTTTCATCATAAATTCATCACAATCTCATTATGGAGGAAGGGTACAATATTGTGACTGGGGTAGGTATTTATGCATTCCCACTTTCCCAGGGTATATATTAACATGTCCGTGCAGAAATGCCATATCCCTTGATTTCGCCCCTTCTTTACCTAATGTCTAACTACACCCAAACCCATATGCATTGTCCTCAAAATTAATAAATGGAATAACAGAAAAGACCATAATGGCAAATCATGCATTTAATTGCATTTTTTTTAAACTGTAAACGTGTGTAGCACTTCTTCCCCCTAATATTCCTAACTTGAATAAACATAATTCGAATACGAATGACAGGTGTTAAAGATACTATGTCCCTTTTGCAGCCAACATCAAATTATGTAGAACTTTGCAGGAATAATGAATATGTCATGTATGTCCTATCTGTGAAATTTAAACGTTAGCAATGTCCTAATATTCAAGTTATGCAAGGAAACCGTTTACTTGCTAGACTTAACTGTCAGACACTATTGAGTGACTGACTGGCTTTTTTTCATCTTTGGTAATAACATACATAAATTGAGCTGTAAAGGGTACATGAGCATTTGTCTACATCATTAACCCACTTCTTGTAATGGCCAAAATTAAACTGATTGAATCTTTGCGCAGCATATAACGTACAACCATTCGGTACAAGGGTCTTAAAAATCAGACTATTACTTACTGGCTCTATAGCTCCTATGTCGATTCGACAACTAATAGTCGTTGACATAGTTCCTTTAAAGGGAAGTCCACCCTAATATTTAGTTGCTTCATATAATAGGCACAGAAAAAGGAGAAAGAGATCAGTGAAAGTCAAGTTGAGGAAAATTTAAAGAAATTAAAAACGAAGAATGTTTAAAGGGATAGTTGAGTCCTGTTGCAGAGGGCGCTACACTAAATAATTTTTTTTTTTTTTGGGGGGGGGGGGGATAATGAAAAACTGAGAGTCATTTTTGAAAGAAAATACAATTTAAATGACAAAATCATATTTGTTTGATCAAAATCGGTTATGAGACGGCTGAAATATCCATAAATATAACGATTTCTAATACTTGTGTACCACCACAAATATTAGATAATTTGAAAAAGCCGTTGAAAAAACGAAATAGCGCATTTACGTCTTATTTCAGCCAATGCCAATGTTGGATTTTTTGTTGCCATTTTGTTGTTGGATATTTTACGCACAACCAGCCGGCCCGTGTGTTGTTATTTTTAATTAAATAATTAATTAACGGTCACCGTATTTTGGGGAAAGCGGAGCTGCATTGGTATGATCGTATTGGCTAAATTTAACACATTTTGGGGTCTAAAATTACCTTCATAGCAATTTTATGTTATAAAAGGTCACTAGAAATGTCAAAGATAGGAATAAGAGCAATAACCATGCACTTTGAAGGCATTTGCGGTCTGAAAACAGAACTCAACTATCCCTTTAAAGAAATTGCAATTAATCAATCAAACACAAATTTGCAACTTTGTGACAAAACTTTGGAGCCTTTGTTTTATGCTAAACATTAATTTACATTTTTCTTGCTGATGAAATAATAGATTTAGTTCGTACGAGTTCTGTAATAATGTACAGTTAACGTTCATTGAGTGTATTACTTTTATCAATTCATGATTTTGTTTCGTACAGACTACAGAGTAAAACGGTCCCCGACAAATGCGTACATCATGAACTTACCTATTGGGGTTTGAAATCAACGTTTACAAATTTAAGAGTTCATAACTTACGTATTTTCTTTTTTTTTTATGAACGCCAACGCAATCCCAAGACGGAGGAACTCCCTTATAAAGGAATGAACGACTGTGGCTATTACGTAACATGTTGATGCTCCAACCCGCAGGTCGGCAGCTTGGTTCTTCAAAAACTACCCGCATAAATTCGGCGCAGCCCATCAACAATAGTTGTTTTTGTTTATTGTTGCTGTTGTTATTGGTGTCAACAAAACACAATCTTACGCCTCTAAAGTCATCCCAACAACTTCACTCAGTATCAAAACTGTAGCTACTATTTTCTTGTACTATATATCAACTATATACATAATATATGAATTAATAGTGTGAAGAATGCAGGCGCGTACGCAGGATTTTTTTAGGGGGGTGCTCCCAACATAAAAAAAATCTTTTGTGTGCCCATGCCTTGAGCCATAATGCATGGCCGTCCAGAGGATTTTTTTTATGTTGGGGACCGGGATAAAATGCAATAAATTATTGAAAATTTATTGTATTTTCTGTTGTTTTTTTTATTTATGGAAACTGCCCCCTACCCTAGCCCCCGCTGCGTACAGTCATGGTTCAGTGACACAGCAATGGCCTCGTAACTGTAAGGCCCCAGGATCAAAACCGTGTCGATGTGCTATATCGGTGCCCTTTTGTGGGGCATTAATCCTCATTACTGTCATTTATGACTTAACGGCATAGGTCCCCTAGATGATAAGCATAGTAGCATACACATGCTTTAGCAGTCACGCAAAACACACATTGGCAAATTGTTATTCAATAACATCTGAGAATGTATACTATTATCTAGATCTATTATTTATTAATTATTTTAAAAATAATTCCATAAATTGGGGTAAAAAACAAATATTCCACCTTTATGAGCGACAGTGTATAAAAAAAATCAAAGGGGGAGGGTGGGAAGGGTTTCCTCCAAAACACACACATGAACAAAAGTTAAAGGGGGGGGGGGGGTTCAACCCCCCCCCCTTTGGTTTCTGTTGTTGTCCCTGTTATTGAAGAAAACACCACAACTATACCTCACCCATCTGGCCGTGCATTTTCCAACCAAAACATTTAATTCTTTTGAATATCAAAAATGTATTGCTATTCATGTATTGTATAAGTTTAATATATCATCTTATTGCAAATATGGTAATACAATTCGAATTTCTGTATATGTACCAAGCAATTTGCCAAGGTCGTTGGAAACCAAAAACAAAAGAATTCCAATTTTACTACCATGCATAATGTTTTACGTGTAATTTTACTTTGTCACTGATGTATACCTTGTAAAAGAAACTGCAATTCGGCTCTCGGGCCGCGAATGTTTTTTAATGAAATAAACCATTTTAAATAAATAAATAAATAGGTAACCTTAAAACATTGGGAAATTTTAAAGGTCAGATAGATTTCAAAAATTTCTATGTCTTTTGTACCCCATTCACAGTGGTTTTGAAATTTGTAGCGGCGTTGTAGCGGAGCGGCGACACCGCCATAACACCGCTACAAATGCATTCACAGTAGAAAAGTTATCCCGCTGCAGCAGCGGGATAAATATCATGTACCCATTCACGCTGCAGCGGGTGATTTTTATTACCTCCGTAACAAACACGTGTATGCATGGCTCATGACCCGCGAGTGACCCCGATATGACCGGAAATACTTCAGCACGGAAAAACGATGAGGCAAGCTTGCAAAAGGTAAACATGTCAAGTTGCTTTTTGTATCCTCGATCATATTACTTTTTAAAAAACTAGCATTTTTATTGCTTCCAGTCAGAATATTTTAATTTTTGAAGTGTGAAATATTTTTATTTGGATAATTATAATATCTACATAATAATAAAATCAATTTAAATCCACTGGTTACTTTATTTCTATTTCACTTTATGTTCCCCATTGCTGGAGAAAAGAGGTCAGTGATAGGTAAGTAAACAAATCACACGTGTTTGTCGCGGTGTTATAGCGGAGAGCCTTCACACTGAGTAAACACCGCGACAGCAGCGGGACTGTCCCGCTGCTGTAGCTAGGCGTGCCTAGCGATAGTTTGTGTCGGCGTTATCGCTAGGCGGTGTTATCCCGCGATAGTTTATAACGGGTCCGAGCCTTCACACTGAAGACAACACCGCGACAGCAGCGGGACAGTCCCGCTGCTGTCGCGGTGTTTGAGGCCACTGTGAATGGGGTATTATATGCCTAATTCGGATAGGGAAGAACAAATCAATAAAAAGACGTTGAATTAGAAGGCTTCCATATTTCGATAAATCACCGATTCATTGGGGAATTTCTGGATTCGTCTAATAAATATATTGAAAATCTCAAATTTAAGGAAAAACTAGGCATTCCTAGACATTTTGTAAAAGGGAAAAAAAATTGTCCGACCGGACAGATAACCCCGATTCATGTTGTCGTCTCCTAGATTTTGATCTCTTTGTAAAAAAATTATTCATTGACCCGAGACACCTGATACCAAACAGATGCAGGAGAAAAAAAATCTCCATGACCTGGCTAACGTACGTTTAAAGATACTATGTCTGTTTTGCAGCCAACATCAAATTCTGTAGAACTTTGCAGGAATTATGAATATGTCGTGTATGTCCTATCTGTGAAATTTAAACGTTAGAACTATCCTAGCATTCAAATTATGCAAGGAAACCCGTTTACTTTCTAGACTCCCCTGTCAGAAATTATTGAGTAACTGACTGACATCTTTTTTTTCTTTGGTAATAACATACATAAAATGAGCTGTAACAGGTACATAAGCATTTGTCTACATCCTAAACCCACTACTTGTAATGGCGAAAAATAAACTGATTGAATCTTTGTGCAGCACAAAACGTACGATCATTCGGTACAAGGGTCTGAAAATCAGACTATTACTTAGGTGGTTGCGATCACTTTTGTCGATTCGACAACTAATGGTCGTTATTTTCCCACAAAAAGCCATTTTCAAGCCCTTTCGAAAGTTCTAAATAAGTATTGTCTTTCAAATGCCGTTGGAATTTAACCTTTTCATTTTTTAGGCCTGCAAATGGGACATAGTCCCTTTAAATGACAGAATGACTTGCTTCAATAATAACAGAAAAATACGGGAGAATGAATAAAGCCGTCTGTTTATAATGGTATGAAGCGTAAATACTTCCAATTGAGACAACTTGGCGAGTTGAGATGGAATTTGATATGTCCTACGATGATCATTACCCCCAGGATTAGGCAGGTACCCATTCAATATGCATGGGTCGATAGGGTCGACATGTTCATTGTGTGTTTAATCTACAAAGCAGTCGAGCAAATTTAAACACCTTGTTCAAGGATATAAGCACCGAGCAAAAAAAGCTTTGACCACAGGGCTCCCTTAACTTATTAAACTATCATTTTGACTTCCTTTTCTTGTTTGATTAACAATTAAAGCAGTCAAGACAGATTTAAACACCTTGTTCAAGGATATAAGCACCGAGCAAAAATTGAATTCGGGACCTCGATCTCTATACAAGAGTCAAAAGCTTTGACCACAGGGCTCCCTTAACTTATTAAACTATCATTTTGACTTTCTTTCCTGTTTGATCAACAACGCAGTAACGACAGATTTAAACACCTTGTTTAAGAATAGAAGCACCGAGTAAAGAATGAAACCTGGACGTCTCGTAATTATGAGAGTCAAGAATTCCCACTATTTTGTTTTTCCTTACCTGTTTCTTGTGCGTGTGTTGAGAAGATCAGACTGACGACTACTAGCACCAGTCGCATCATCTTTGAAAACTTGTCAGGACCTCACTTGGTTCCAATTTGATTCAGGACGATAATGTTTCATCGGCCGTCTTCCCAGTGACCGATTACTCTTCTGATTTCAAGGTTTCACCCCTCGCCCTTATATCGGAAGATTTGTAGTTATACAATGCCCAGGTCTGTCGCTGTACCAGCACCCCTTCTGTTTTTCTTAGCCTGGGTTTTTAATTACCGGTTACGTATAGGAGAGCATTTAAGAAGAAGGTATATATGACGTCATACCCAAACTTGAAAGGTGGGTGGGCGAGGGGCGGGCTTTTAGTCCAATCATAGTCTATGGTCCAATAGGGCGAGAAAAGGTTTTTGAACTGGGCGTGCTCAAATCGTAAGCATATCCATGAGGAGATCACGGGATGGGGCAGGCAGTAAGCCTAATTTCTAGACCAGTTTTCCAAGGGCGGATAGTGCGATTCCAATCGAGAGTCGTCTAACGAAGTTTGCAAAAGAAATTTCGGGATATGAAATATTCAGTTATCTAAATACAAGGTATTTGTGTTAATTGCTTTCCTCCTACCCCACAAAAATTCGAAAGTCAGCTTATCTAAATGCTCATATACCCATCTTAGGACCGGTATGAGGGATGCCACATAAATGAATTTCGAATATACAAATAACATTTACAATTGTATTTTACCCATAATTGTTAAGTCTCTCTGCTTCAACCAACTCAACCATATCTTTATAATTTAAATTTGATTTTACTTCTAAGTTCAAGGAAAAAATTACCCCTATAATCTTTACAAGTTCCACTTTACGACCAAAGGATGTAATGTATAACTTTCCTTGAAGGGCGTCTCACAACACTACTTTTGTTTTATATGCGTTGTTTACCCGGGGTCCGGATATTTTTCTGAATTATCACCTCTGTTATATCACAAAGACATCGATCCCTGGGAAACACGCAGCGTGTCCACACACAAAACAATCTATCCCGAAACTCTATAACGAAACGTCGTATGAAGAATCATAGTATAAATTTCAAAGTGTCCACACACAAGAAACTTCATATAAATAATCATCGTATAAATTCAAGGATGTCCATAAACAGAAGAAAGTAATCCTGAAACTCTACAGTCTGGTCTCCTTTCGCTCGAGGTCACGTTAAGCCCCGCCCAGTTAGTTACACTAGTTATTGGTCGACATGCAGGTAGTATGTTTTTCCAAGGATGAAGGATTTCAGAAGCTCCCTTGTTTTTCAATTACTTTTTATGATCTTTGCATAACTAAACTCGTGTAAGATTGAAAAGAACAGGGTATTTTTTATTTTTCGCATCAGTCCCTTTCGTGTGGGCTTGAAAGGTCAAGGAGTTTTGAGTTGTTGAAAAGAATGCTGCCTTTATTTTTCTGAATTCATGTAATATTTTTATGAATAATTTGAATAGTTTTTTTTTCGTAATTCTAGCTCCGTTATGTGTATGCTATAATAAGCATGGATTTCTACTGTTACGTTGATTTCAAGTCCCTCTAACTTCCCCCCCCCCCCCCCCCGCTTTTTGTGTGTCCACAAACCTCACAATTCTTTAGACGTTAAAGCAATTCGGTATACTGGTCCTAAAACAAATACAACCTCGATGTTTTCAAATCCAAACTGATGTTTAAAAATACGTATACCATCATGATCACGATGATGTATTTAGTAATGCACTCCCGGATTACAACACACATTTATTTTATTCAGTGTGTCGGACTGTGTTAGTGTTGCTGGAGGGGGGGGGGGGGAGATGTGTCTTCATATAGGGTATTTAATGTTTTATATTTGAGTTGTACGCGCCCCTTCGTTACAATTTTCATATTATATGTTCAGATGCCTTCTGTTTTACAAGCCTTGTGCTCTTCCCGAAGGTGTCCTATCATTTACTACTTCGCCAATTTGTGTATTTACGACTGTTGTACAGTATGTGTGGTACATTGTTGGGTGGTAAATATATTTATATTTCATTCACGTAAATGTTTTGCAGTTGTTTATGTTTGAAATACCCATGTGATTTTATGTCTATTCCCTCTTTGTTATCCATTTTATCTGACTCCATGTGTGGTTTTTATTTATTTTTTCCAAAACACTTCTATTATTCCCACTCGATCTGAGACAAATGAAGAAGTCAACAATTTTGTATTTGTATGTGCGATTGACCATGGTCTTTATTGAGAGCTGATTACCATAAATTAACTCTTTTTCAATCAAACTGGTCAGCAAAGTAAATCTAATTAAAAAAAAAAAATAACAATGACTGTAACTCATACTTCGAGCAAATTATGTCGAGAGCGATCTGTAAGGGACCAATAGGGGGCCCGGCCGGGCGACAAAGTAATATCAATTGACTAGCCGTAACAATTCTTCCATTCGCCTGGCCATGCGAACGGGCTTCCCCCATCTCTTGCGGCTTTTTGCACAGACAAGAGGCATGGGTGAGCGTAGTCCAGGGTGAGCGTAGCCTCTTGTCGATGCCCTCGCGCTGTTGGAGTCGCTCGTCAGAATTTAGAGACTCCAACAGCGCGAGGGCATCGACAAGAGGCTAGGGTGAGCGAAGATGACTTCCCGCCGGAAACCCTGAGCGTTACACACGGCATAAGCCAGGCAATCTCAGCTTCAACGGACAGGGTCCCGCTCACCTCCCCCCCCCCCCCCCCACGTACCCCAACCGAAAACGTGATGAGCCCAAACGACTTCCCGCTAAGAACCTGGGCAATACTGATTGTATCCCCAGCTTACGGACAAGTCAGGCTCGTAAAATTGTATAAATACGGCAATAAAAACAGTCCTCTAAAAACACCAAATTTTGTCTCCCCTTCCTAACAGACCGCTTGCTCTAGTTTTACATTACCACAATCAATATATTTCTTATATAGGCGATTATAGGCGTCCAAATTCGCAAGAATGCCGCCAAACGAGATGTGACGCAACTCGCCGCCATATATATCGCATATCATAGTGCCTACAACATGCTTCCACGAATGTAAACTATCCTCGTAACATTAGAGTAGGGTCAGAGGCGGCCCTCCCGGGGGCAGGGGGGGGGCACAGTGCCCCCCCCCACTTTTTCAGATACCCCCAAAATGCCCCTTTTTACATACGAAAAGTGCCCCTTTTATTTTGTAAGAAGTGCCCCTTTTACATAGGAAAGGTGCCCCTTTTACTTTGACAAGTGCCCCTATTACTTAGTAAAAGTGCCCCTTTCCCCTTTTCACCTCTGACGAGTACCCTTTTAATTTTTGACACGTGCCCCTTTTCCTTCGACATGTTCCCATTTTCCTTTGCAATAAATGTTCAATAAATGACAACTTCCCCTTTTTTCCTTTGTAAGAAGTGCCCCTTCTCCTTTTAATAACTACCCCTTTTTTAAACTCGGATGAGCGCACCTTTCATTTTAACATGTGCCCCTCTTATTTTCTAATAAGTGCCCCTTTTCCTTATGATAAGTGCCCCCATTAAAAAGAGAGAGCTCCTTCCCCTTCTCATAACTTCCCCTTTCCCTTTCTAATAAGTGCCCCTTTTCCTTATGATAAGTGCCCCCATTAAAAAGAGAGAGCTCCTTCCCCTTCTCATAACTTCCCCTTCCCCTTCTCATAACTGCCCCTTTTAAACATCTGAACGGTGCCCCCTTTTCATTCAACAAATGCACATTTTCCTTTATTATAAGTGCCCCTTTTACATTTTCATAAGTGCCCCTTTTCATATCTGGTCAGTGCCCCTTTGCAACTCTGATAATTCCCCTTTTAATAATGATACGTGCCCCTTTTCCTTTCTAATAAGGGACCTATCCCCTTTTCACCTCTTATAAATGACCCTATTAAAATCTGATGGGTGCCCCTTTTCCGTCAACAAATGCCTATTTCCCATTTTCGTAAACGCCTCCTTTTCATCACTGGTGAGTGCCTCTTTTCAAATGAAAAAATGCCTCATTTTCACCTCTTATAATTATCCTTTGTACTTATACACGTGCTCCTTTTCTTTTCTAATAAGTGTCTTATCCCTTTCGATAATTGTCCCCTTTTCATGTTATCATTAAACGTGCCCCTTATTTAAAGCGACTAAGAGCAGTTTCCCTCAAAGTTCGCTCGCTGCGCTCGCTCGCATTTAAAGATTATATAATTATGTTACTTATCAAAGGTCTTTTCAGTCTTCCGTTGTGAGAATGTGCTTATAACCCCATCACGATTGGCTTTTTTCCTCTTTATAAGATGTAATTTTTCGCACTGCGACCTCACAGATCTTTAAAAATTTTCTCGCTCGCTTCGCTCGCTCGTAAATGCATGTTCAGACATCACACCCAACTGTAAAGTTTGATGCTTAAGCGATATCTTGTATGATGTATGAAGAGAAACAAATATTAAAATCATCCCTGATAATGTAATCACAATGTAGGGGTATATACCAATGTCTAAAAATTGTATATTTTCGCTTTGAGATTTCCCACTATAGGCGCCCTTTTTTCCAGAAAGTGCCCTTTTTTTGTTGGTGCCCCCCCCCCACTTTGAAAGTCACTCGGCCGCCCCTGAGTAGGGTAATCGTGCTGAGTCAACTGTTGAACGCAAGTTAAGCCATTATTAAACCAGCAACCCGATTACTATAATATGCACTATCATCCATGTACGGAAGTTCATACCTCAAATACGGAAGACGAAGAAGCAATAGAGAACATATAGTGGCATAAATATCATCTCCTAGTCATTAAGAAGATACAGTAACGCTACTATTGATACTTAATCATTACTACTGTACACGAGAAAAATAATACTGATTTACCATAGCCCCATTTAAACTTTATAACTCGATGTTAAGATCGACATAAAATCCAAAGCCAAAAAACACTAACGAAGCTATATCACTGGACGGGAAAGCGGGACACGGCGATTTAACGTTAGCTTAAAGGTAAAGACCAGTATTGGAAACGCCCCAATTTCAAAAAATGAAATGGAAGCTCTCATTACCAATCATGTGAAAGAATATATTTTGACTAATACATGATGATAAAAAATTTGCCGGGAAACTGCCTACTAATTCATATATTTGGTAAATTTGTT